AGCACATGTGTGCCAACACTGAAGCGCATGTGTGCCGAAGCACGTGTGCTGACACTGAAGTGCATGTGTGCTGACACTGAAGCGCATGTGCACCGACACTAAAGCACATGTGTGCCAACACTGAAGCGCATGTGTGCTGACACTGAAGGACATATGTGCTGACACTGAAGGACATATGTGCCAACACTGAAGCACATGTGTGCTGTCACTGAAGGACATGTGTGCTGACACTAAAGCGCATGTGTGCCAACACTGAAGCACATGTGTGCCGACACTAAAGCGCATGTGTGCCAACACTAAAGCACATGTGTGCCAACACTGAAGCGCATGTGTGCCGAAGCACGTGTGCTGACACTGAAGTGCATGTGTGCTGACACTGAAGCGCATGTGCACCGACACTAAAGCACATGTGTGCCAACACTGAAGCGCATGTGTGCTGACACTGAAGCGCATATATGCCGACACTGAAGCGCATGTGTGCTGTCACTGAAGCGCATATATGCCGACACTGAAGTGCATGTGTGCCGACACTGAAGCGCATGTGTGCCGACACTGAAGCACATGTGTGCCGACACTAAAGCGCATGTGTGCCAACACTAAAGCACATGTGTGCCAACACTGAAGCGCATGTGTGCCGAAGCACGTGTGCTGACACTGAAGTGCATGTGTGCTGACACTGAAGCGCATGTGCACCGACACTAAAGCACATGTGTGCCAACACTGAAGCGCATGTGTGCTGACACTGAAGCGCATATATGCCGACACTGAAGCGCATGTGTGCTGTCACTGAAGCGCATATATGCCGACACTGAAGTGCATGTGTGCTGACACTGAAGGACATGTGTGACAACACTGAAGCGCATGTGTGCTGACACTAAAGCTCATGTGTGACAACACTGAAGCGCACATTTGACACCACTGAAGCGCAAGTGTGCTGACACTAAAGCACATGTGTGACAACACTGAAGCGCATGTGTGCTGACACTAAAGCTCATGTGTGACAACACTGAAGCGCACGTTTGACACCACTGAAGCGCATGTGTGCTGACACTGAAGCGCATGTGTGCCGACACTGAAGTGCATGTGTGCCGACACTGAAGCGCATGTGTGCCGACACTGAAGCACATGTGTGCCGACACTAAAGCGCATGTGTGCCAACACTAAAGCACATGTGTGCCAACACTGAAGCGCATGTGTGCCGAAGCACGTGTGCTGACACTGAAGTGCATGTGTGCTGACACTGAAGCGCATGTGCACCGACACTAAAGCACATGTGTGCCAACACTGAAGCGCATGTGTGCTGACACTGAAGCGCATATATGCCGACACTGAAGCGCATGTGTGCTGTCACTGAAGCGCATATATGCCGACACTGAAGTGCATGTGTGCTGACACTGAAGGACATGTGTGACAACACTGAAGCGCATGTGTGCTGACACTAAAGCTCATGTGTGACAACACTGAAGCGCACATTTGACACCACTGAAGCGCAAGTGTGCTGACACTAAAGCACATGTGTGACAACACTGAAGCGCATGTGTGCTGACACTAAAGCTCATGTGTGACAACACTGAAGCGCACGTTTGACACCACTGAAGCGCATGTGTGCTGACACTAAAGCACATGTGTGACAACACTTAAGCACATGTGTGCCGACCCTAAAGCGCATGTGTGCTGACACTAAAGCGCATGTGTGACAACACTGAAGCGCATGTCTGACAACACTGAAGCGCATGTGTGCCAACACTAAAGCTCATGTGTGACAACACTGAAGCGCACGTCTGACAACACTGAAGCGCATGTGTGCTGACACTGAAGCACATGTGACAACACTGAAGCGCATGTGTGCCGACACTAAAGTGCATGTGTGACAACACTGAAGCGCATGTGTGCTGACACTGAAGCGCATGTGTGACAACACTGAAGGACATGTGTGCTGACACTAAAATGCATGTGTGACAACACTGAAGTGCATGTGTGCCGACACTAAAGTGCATGTGTGCTGACACTGAAGCGCTTGTGTGACAACACTGAAGCGCATGTGTGCTGACACTAAAGCGCATGTGTGCCGACACTAAAGCGCATGTGTGATGACACTAAAGCGCATGTGTGACAACACTGAAGCTTACTCTGAGTGCACATGTGCTTATCCAAAACAGGAAGTTTAAGTCGATAAATATTTTCTCACATTTGATATTAATTTTGTAATCAGAGCTGAACCATGACATCACAAGCACCATGACAACATAAACACTATGCCACCATAAACCCCAGTACTTATGAGGCAGTTTCTGGGATACCTCTCTAGAATGTAGACATTAGTCATAGGTGCTAAGGTACCAAGTGACATCTGTAAGACTAGTCAACGCACCTTGAACAACTCAACATACCCATTTGTGAATCATTCAGTTTGAAATGTTTCAAAAGCATCCACCAAGTCAAGAAAGAGATCTGTTTAAACAGCCAAGAGTCTCAGACAATATTGATTATACAACCATATCTAAATCATTAGATTCAGGAATCAGGGACGTCAACAATCAAACTGTCTCAATCAGTACATAAGATGCCTCTCTCAACCCAAATTAAGGAAGCTGACTCACCCAATTATATAAAGTTCTGATTTTTTAACAGCTATATTAGAAAACACAACCCTTCTCCCCAAACTGAAGCTGTTTTGGTTTGCATACATATAAATATATACTGTGGTGTTCTGAGTGTGAGTCAGACTGGAGCAGGCAGTCACATGATGTGTCCGTAGGTCAGAGTGATGCAGCCTACATCCCACAGTACCTGGCCTGGGGTGACTCACTCCCCCCCCTCCCACCACCCCTCCCCCATGTCACCTAGGGGCACTGTCTCACTGCCAGAGCTTACGTAACTCCTGCTGTGTCATGTCAGGGGTATTGCACAGAGAAGAAACAAAAACTCCACGTGTCATACAAGCAGACATACAAAGACATACTCATAGGCCACTTTACTGACACATTGTAAAGAATAAAAACATTGATTGTTGATCTAGAAAAGAGCAGCCTGACCGTATCACTTGACATGTCCCTGTGCAGGAACAAATATACCTTCTGTGTCGTCACTGTCAAAGTGTTAACATTTCACAATGTGCACATTGCATTCAAATAAATACAGATGTATCAGGTCTAAAATTGGAAATATGGTGCCATGGCAATGTTAGTCATCTAGGCATGTAGGCAACAGTAATAAATATCACAAAACACAGGACAAAGGCTGCAGCAGGATTTTCAAATATTTTCTTTGTAAACACCGAGTACTAAAAACCAATACAACTAATACTTCTTCGCTGATATAGCCTACTTAAATCAAACAATGTTTCACAAATAACCTAAAATAAATCATCTACAAATAAATAAACATGTGAGAAAATGACACAAACACAGGGATTGATCGAGACCTGCTCAGAGGCCGACATTTGGCCCAAAACTGCAGTAAATATTCCCAAAATGGAATTTAACTTTTCCCAATTTATGTTAATAAATAACAGATAGCTAATTCTATGGCTTTGTGAAAATAACCTGTATTTCACTGAATAGGAATGAATAGGAGGGGTTACAATGTTTAGTTACCTTATATTACTGCATTGAATGTACTCTCAAAATACAAACTTAAAATAGGCCTTCCTCCCAATTTTGAACAAAATAACAATATTTTTCCCAATTTGCCTGCCAGGGGCACTTATATAAGTTTACAATCCTGGATAAATCCCTGAAACATTATAAGTATTTCTAAAGAACCAACATGCTGACATTCATAGTGTTGAAGCATTGTGATGTAGCGAGCAAGATGTCATACATGACCGAGTGCCACCATATGTTAGACTTTCATGGTGGGATGGAATCTTATAATGCACTCTATTCAAACAATTCGTGAATGTTTGTCATGTTTCTGTCCAAATGCATTACCACACATGCTTTGAATAATCCAGAAGCAGTTTCAGGTAATATCAGTATTTGAATCTGTTTACTGGTCTTCTTGTTCAAGAAATCAAGGTTTTCAAATGCACTTATACCTTCATTCTTAAAGAATGGGTTCACTCACAGTGGCTGATTGACCAATCATCATGCAGGATTCTTAATAGCATGGTAAAATTGGTTTAACACAAATCAGGAACATTACACATGAATGAAATAACATATTTTTAAATTATCTCAACCAATGTTTTTTAAATATTCTTTTTTTACAGTCACTGCCACATCAGCAAAAACACCCGGCATAAAAACATTTTATTGCTTCTTTCTGACAAAAAAGAGAGAACTTTTTACATCTAAATAGCCTACTTTTGTCATAAGGAATAAAAGAGGTCGCCTGTCAAGTCAAATTTTGAAAGTCATTGCCCGAGAAGCCATTTTAAAAGAAAAGTCCTTCGCTTTTAACAAGGACAAATTAGCGGAATAAGTTGATAAGTGTATCGAACATGAGGCCCTTGTGTTAAATCATGTGAAGTTGTGAGCAATGCCAAACCTTAATCAGAAATAATACATGCAGCTTATCACACATGACAAATCAGCTTAACCTACAAACACTTCACCCACACTACACACATCTGGTTTTAATATTAGAATACCAGTGCAGAATTCTGGATTGGAAACACCAAGAGTGATCTAAGGCAGGTAACTCTCTTGCTGGTGCACTGACTAAGCTACAAGAACTGTCTTTTCAATTCTCCTATGACCACTACATATGGGGGCAGGGATGTATCTTTTTGCTTCACTTTTGGATGAAGTACATATTTCATGATGGGCTGTTTTGTGTAAAATGAAGCCAAACAAACACTAGCATGTGTTGATACAATTACTAAATAATCTCAAAAACTAAACTTTCATCACCCCCTAGAAAAAAATGGTTGTTCCCAAACGATGATAGATGGACAAATGAATCCTAATAAAAACGCTGGCAAAACATCCTTTCTGTAAAAACTAGAATATATTTCTTACAAATGTGTGTGCAACGTGTTGAGAACAAGCTCTCACCTTGTTGATGAGCCGGTTAGCAAACAGCCATGGCCAACTTTCCCTGCGCTTGTGAAAGTTGAGGGTGACAAGTGCATCAACACCTATAGAGGCGTAATTGTTCATCATCATGACCTGCAGGTAATTAATATACAAATACAATACAAATATCACTTCTTGAGCTAAGTTCCAAAGGGGCATTAGGCTCAATCCATATGCCAGTCCAAGCATTATCTAAAACCATCAAATTTAACTTTGCATATCTGCTGTTCAAGTTTAGCATGCACATCAATCTATCAGTTAATGCTTACTCTGATGACACAGACAATGTCTCCGCTTCACACATAGTACTAATTACAATGTCTAGTACTCTGCAGAACATGACCACCAGGCTGTAAAGGGTGGAGTTACACTTACCCGTTTCAGCTTGGGAACGGATATTCCAAAGTGTTTCTCATGACTGATCTCTATTTTCCACCTGAAAGTCATCAATCCAAATATTTGGTCAATTTCAGTCATCCTGATGCAAAACTGCTATGAATCAAATGAAGCATCAGTAAAATCCTAATTTTACCCAATATTGATCAAGTTGTCAGTAGTGACAGCAATCAGGCTATCAATTACTATCAGAAATTACAGACTATTGTCTTGTGACAAATACAAGCAGGCCATTTGAGTTATCATTTCCTTAATTCAGAGGCACCGATAAATTAACGTTTCATGTAATTCAATTATGTAAAACTAAGCATCAAAGCTGCTTCCTCTTTACTGGTCCTGTCTTCAGTGCATACAAGTCCCCTCTACCATGTCTACAGAGCCATAACATGTGTGATAACGTCATAAACAAGAGTTTACAAAGTGTACTGTAGAATCTAATGTAACTATGGTGTGCTGTACAAAGGTAATTTCATTGTTACATATTTTTGATAAGGGAGACTATGGAAGTCTTCCATGATGATCTTTAAGTCATTTTTTAATTTAGTTGCATATGGATGTCCCTAAGTGCACATCAAAACCAATATCATTCAAGCAGATCTTTTAGATTGATTCAAAATGTTCAATACCTCTCTCCATCAAAATCTGACAAACCCACAGAAAAAACACAGAAATGTATAGTGTGAACACACAGACACACAGACACAGACACACACACACACACACACACACACACACACACACACACACACACACATTCTGAATCTGTATTCCTAACATTGTGTTAACACACCCACCTGATGTATCCCTAACATTGTGTGAACACACCCACCTGATGTATCCCTAACATTGTGTGAACACACCCACTTGATGTATCCCTAACATTGTGTGAACACACCCACCTGATGTATCCCTAACATTGTGTGAACACACCCACTTGATGTATCCCTAACATTATGTGAACACATCCACCTGATGTATCCCTAACATTATGTGAACACACCCACCTGATGTATTCCTAACATTGTGTGAACACACCCACCTGATGTATCCCTAACATTGTGTGAACACACCCACCTGATGTATCCCTAACATTGTGTGAACACATCCACCTGATGTATCCCTAACATTGTGTGAACACACCCACCTGATGTATCCCTAACAATGTGTGAACACACCCACTTGATGTATCCCTAACATTGTGTGAACATACCCACCTGGTGTATCCCTAACATTGTGTGAACACACCCACCTGATGTATCCCTAACATTGTGTGAACACACCCACCTGATGTATCCCTAACATTGTGTGAACACACCCACCTGATGTATCCCTAACATTGTGTGAACACATCCACCTGATGTATCCCTAACATTATGTGAACACACCCACCTGATGTATCCCTAACATTGTGTGAACACACCCACCTGATGTATTCCTAACATTGTGTGAACACACCCACCTGATGTATCCCTAACATTGTGTGAACACAACTACCAGCTGTATCTCTAACATTGTGTGAACACACCCACCTGATGTATCCCTAACATTGTGTGAACACACCCACTTGATGTATTCCTAACATTGTGTGAACACACCCACCTGATGTATCCCTAACATTATGTGAACACACCCACCTGATGTATCCCTGATGTATCCCTAACATTGTGTGGACACACCCACCTGGTATATCCCTAACATTGTGTGAACACACCCACCTGATGTATCCCTGATGTATCCCTAACATTGTGTGAACACATCCACCTGATGTATCCCTTACATTGTGTGAACACACCCACCTGATGTATCCCTAACATTGTGTGAACACATCCACCAGATGTATCCCTAACATTATGTGAACACACCCACCTGATGTATCCCTAACATTGTGTGAACACACCCACCTGATGTATCCCTAACATTGTGTGAACACACACACCTGATGTATCCCTAACATTGTGTGAACACACCCACCTGATGTATCCCTAACATTGTGTGAACACACCCACTTGATGTATCCCTAACATTGTGTGAACACACCCACCTGATGTATCCCTAACATTGTGTGAACACACCCACCTGATGTATCCCTAACATTGTGTTAACACACCCACCTGATGTATCCCTAACATTGTGTGAACACACCCACCTGATGTATCCCTAACATTATGTGAACATACCCACCTGATGTATCCCTAACATTGTGTGAACACACCCACCTGGTATATCCCTAACATTGTGTGAACACACACACTTGATGTATCCCTAACATTGTGTGAACACACCCACCTGATGTATCCCTAACATTGTGTGAACACACCCACCTGATGTATCCCTAACATTGTGTGAACACACCCACCTGATGTATCCCTAACATTGTGTGAACACACCCACCTGATGTATCCCTAACATTGTGTGAACACACCCACCTGATGTATCCCTAACATTGTGTGAACACACCCACCTGATGTATCCCTAACATTATGCAAACACACTCACCTGTCGAGGGCTACAGGGTGGGCCTCCTTCAAGTGGGACAAGACATCCGAAACCTGCACGTCTCCAGTGTAACCTTCACCCCATCCCAACACTCTGGACAGGTCGTTCCCCGTGCCTAGTGGCAGTATACACACTCTCGGTGGCTTCTGGAACATAGAAAAGAAAACATATTATCAGAAAATCATACTTACATAAGAGTCAAAGAATTGTTTGCTGGGTAATTCCATACAGAACTTTGTAATTTGGATTAGTTCAAATAATTATGTAGTTAGAAGTGCTTGTTGGCAGTACAAAAACAACCAGGAGGTACCAAGGCATTCATTACAAAAAAAGGTGAAACTGAAAAATAGAAAATTCTAAATATTCCTTACATCTGTAAACTTATGCTGCAGTTACTGTTTTTTTCTGACAGAAAGACGAAGCAATGTGAGAAGCAGCTGAAAAAGAAGTTGTTCCAACCAGTTGTGTGGCTAATCCCATCACAGACTGCTGGAGACATTAACGGCATTTGGGGTTGGTGACCTGCTGGGCAACAACCAGCGGACCAAAACTGTGGATGCCCTCAACGTCTTCAAAGGTCACGTCCTACAGGTAGTGGCTTGCAAAGACTGTGTAGGATCTCCAAAAGAATCTTTCCATGATGGATCTGATGGAGCAATTGCTGTGGAGAGCATTGGTGGATGCGACAGCTCCGATCTCGTAAAGGTTGTTGGCTCTGGGAGGATCCAGGCCAGCGGTCTCTAGAGCCTGTAGGATGATTGCATGCAGCTACAAAGATATTCCGTCTGGGAAACAGGGATGAATAGTCGTTTCCTTGATCCTCAGTGCTCAATCCAGGCACAAGAGTAGTTCCTCCTCATCTTCAGCACCCACAATCAAAGCGTGTGGTGGGATTGTGAAGGCTGTCCTGGGAGTTGATTCTTGGGTATGAAGTCCCAGAACAGCCAAAGGTCAATGGCCTGAGCTCAAACCGGACACTGGTGAGGTTGAGTGCATGCAACTCGCTTACCCTTGCCAGTGTGGCCCGAACCAAGAGGAACACCATCTTCTTGGCAAGGTTAAAAAGAAAGCTGAGTGAATAGGCTCAAACATAGCACCACGCAACAATTTGAGAACCATGTCCAGATTCGAGGCAGGAGGTCTGAACTTGGCCTTCTGATCCTCTAGCCTGAAGGAGCGCAGCAATGCTTTGAGTTCTGGAACCGTTGTCATTTTGTGATCTTCCAGAACAGTAAAAAAGAGTTGAGGGCCACCAGGCAGGTAGAAATGGTGCTGTCCTTGAGACGTCATTTGCTGTGCAAACAGGAGGAATTCTCCCGCAACCTGGGATGTACTGGACTAGAAAGTACAGTCGATCTACCATATGGAAAAAACGGAATGTCTGCTGAAGCAGGGAGTGCATTGTCCCCTGGTTGCGCAGACACCAGACCACCATGATGTTGTCTGTGGAGATTGCTACCTTAGCATTCTTGAGACGATTCTGCCAGTGAGATATTGAAAGAATAAGCGCTTCCAGCTCCAGGTTGTTTATGTGCCACGTATACTGGTCCTCCAGATTAGCGTCCGAACCCTGTAGGGAGGCATCTCCTAAGACAATCAACTCCACCTCCCACCACAGGAGATGAGGCTTGAGGTGTGAAGGTAGGATGATGGAGACTGACGGTGCCTGGAGCCTGATGAACAGAGATAGGAACTGCTGAATTGGGCGCACATGTAAGCGTCTCTGGATGTCAGATCGATGTGAGAAGACCCAGAAGCATTTGACACTGGCGAAGCAGGAACCCTAGGAACCGCCTGTCGCTGGGGTGGATAGGCACATGCAGGTAGGCATCCTGCAAGTAGAAGCTGATCAGGGAATCGTTGGTATTGATTCGGGTCCTGAACAGCCTCAATGTTGTCATCCGCAAATACGGAAGGCATTCTAAGTAACGCTCGTTGAATATTGACAGATTGTGAATCATCTGTAGCTTCTCCATGTCCTTCTTGGGATTAAGGGTTACAGGAGAATAGAAGCCTGGTGATATGGCTGGGGTGTGTACAACCTCTATGGCCTTTTTGTTTTGTAATATGTTGATGTTGTCTAATAGAGGCTGATGTTGATTTTGAGGTAGATCGGTTAGCAGTGAGAGATGATACCCCTGGTACAGGATGGTGGTGACATAGTGGTCGTCCAAGATGACCCAAATTTGCCAAAATCAGCCTAGTCTCCCATCTACAATCGTTGATGTCTGGGGCTTCAGTGCTTCCCCCTGCAGTCACCACCCCTACCCTGGTACTTGTCCCGGTGAGGTTGGTAGTTGCCTTGTACCCTTACGGCATCCTTTGCCACGGAAGACAAAGTGTCGTCGGCGCGGCCCTTCGCGACTGATAGATCCCAGGCTTTGAGGACTTGTAGGATGCATGCTGAAACATATGTGCCAAAGCCTTGAGGGCAGTCTCATAGCCAGAAACACGAGAGTGAGTCTCGGATACCTCTCCATTGAAAAGGGAAGATGCGAACAAAGGTTGGCATAGTAGCTTCCTTTTAAACTCAAAGTCCCAATCAGTTAAAGCAAGGTAGCCAAGGCGACCAGTCGCAGTGATCTCAGCCAGGGTAGCCTTGAGATGATTACACATGTGATCTATTTGATGTTGTTGGAAGACCATAACTGTCCTCAGATGATTAGGATTAGTGTCCGTCAGGTCCTGATCAATGGCGCAAGATGAAGACGCTAGAGCAGACAAAGGTTTAAGAATGCCGAATCTCCGTCTCTATAAACGACAAGTGTGTGTTTAGGATCCTGGTGGTCATAGGTTTGGACGAGCCAGTCATGTGATTGAGATCCTCATCCTAGGCATGAGCAATATCTGTCACCTCAAATGCTCGGATGGGGAATCATCCTTCCAAAATAGAGTAGCCTTGAATGCCGGCGTGAGAGATAATTTCGGAAAGTCCTTATCCAATTGTCATGAATATGTCCTTCAACATTGGGTCTGGCAGAATGGAGGTAGGCTGTGACCAGACAGTATCTTTCTTATTCACACCTGGGCCCAGTGAAAAAGCAACAGCAGCCAAGCAATCAGCCATGCTGTCCGGTACCTCAGATGGGTATCCTTCTACGGGCAGGAACCCTCATACCTAGGTAAAAAGGAGCCCTCTGCAATAATTGTACGATCGCCATTCAGAGGAATGGCTCCTGGAGTGGCACCTGAATCTCATTGACTTAGAGCTGCATCTAGAAGAAGATCCAGGAGAAGCCTACCTGCAAGATGACGCAGTTTGGGAGGTGCAGGAGGTGCAGGTGGGGTACGCACTGAGGGTACAACAGGCACTGGTGAGGCAGAAGGCGCAGGTGTTTGTGGAGTCTCTTGCGGAGGCACAATGTAGAGGCACAGGCAGCGTTGCTGTCAGAAGATACGCTTGGGTAAGCATCAGCATTGGAGAAATCAATGGTCATCTGCGCCAAGGGAGGCGCAGGCCCCTGCGTGGTCATCGGTGCCTGGGGAGGCAAAGGCTGCCTAGTCGGCGGCATCAGAGGTAGCGTAGAAGAGGCAGCGATCTTAGGTGTAGATGACAAAGGCAGCTTCCATCCAGAAGAGGACAGCATGGACACGATGCTAGATGTGGCAGGGGTCTCAAACGGGATCTCTTGAGAGTCTGACATCCTAGTCTATCTGTGGGCCTGCTGAGTAAGGCATTTCCGAGACACCAGGAGGTACTTGGAAAAGTCTGTAGGAGAGAGGGGTGACCAGAAGCTACACTTCGTAGCCACGGGGCTTGGGTTTGGTACAGTACATACACAAAGGGTGGGGGGGATCCCACTAGACTTACTAAGCAACAATACAGAATAAAGGACATAAGACACGAGAACGTGACATGGAGAAATCAAAATTGCGATTTGGAATTATATTACACATGATATTTAAAGTGACTTGTAGCCACTATCATATGCAATATATTAATGCGATGGCAAATATATATGGTAAGATGTGAAAACACACCTTAAGAATGATACAATTCCCAATTGAAGGCTGAAAAAATAAACAAGCAAAAGGATGCCAGTAGATTAGCTGAAGCTTTATTGAGCATGACTTGTCAGCCAAGTTGACAAACAGTAATGTGAGGTTCCGTGACATCATTACTTTTGTGGTCACGTTGGTTCTGTGTGATGGAATTAGCCACACAACTAGTTGGAAGAACTTCTTTTTCAGCTGGACCTCACACAGCTTTGTAGTTCTGTCAAACAATAGTAGTAAATGCATTAAGGTGTAAATGTAATGCAGGATAAGTACTTGCAGTCATGACCCTGTCAAGACACCATACACACAGTGCAATCTGTCTACATGATCAGAGGCAGTGTTAAATACTTTTGGTGTGTAGCATTTGTTTAGAGTGGATGCAAACATACCTTGAATTGTAGTTTCTCTATAGACTTGAGCACCCAGCCGATGGTGCCATCGCCCCCACACACAAGGACACGCACGGGGGTGAGAGGGAGAAGATGGCACCACTCAAGGCCACTCTCGGGGGGAATGTCATGGAGATCTATCACCTGGCAACACAATATACTGAAGTGTCATGGTTGGCCTTTCAAAATAGTTCCATAAACTACAATATGAAAAATTGCAAAACTAGATGGGCATGTTATCTCCCAACATAAGCTCTGGATTTAATGAATTTTGAGCATGATCAGATATTTTTCAATAACGGCAAAACTGCACACTAATGCTGAAACATGGGGAATAGACCTGAATAGTATTTAACCTTGGACTATCCAACATGCCCAAGTGTCAGGAAACTTGAATAAGAAAATGTAGGATAGTTCCAAACTGAATTTTCCACATGGAAAGGCAAACGGTTTGGTACAGATTTGTCCTCAACACATTCAAGGCCTTTTTAAGACTTTTTCATTGCATTCATAGTCAAATTCAAGGCAAATATCTTCCTGGATTATCCCAACTTGCACTCACATTTATTTAGTAGAACACTCATAATTCAAACAATCATCATTCAAACAATCATCATGCAAGCCAGGTTTGCAAAATCAGCTACAAAGTTTGAATTATTGGTTATCATACAGCAATTGGCATATGTTCGAGGACAGTCATAAGTAAGTTTGTCTTTGGTATATAAATAGTAAAAAAATAAGTTGTTGTGTACCTAGTGTTTAATTCAATGTCTTTTCAAGTAATGATTATTTTCAAGGCTTTTTCAGGACAAACTAAAAAAAGCAAGCAATGTGGGCACCTTGGCAGAGAAAACGACTCTGGTGTTAATAAACTGGGACTAACAACCTACCTGTGCTGGGTTGAGTATTGCACGGAATGCTTGCAGGACGTGTTCCCCATCATTGTTCCCACTCTTCCTATTGGCTATCACAATCAGGGGAGACCATTCTGGAATGGAAGGTTTGCGGACAGACTTCACAATGAGATGTTTACGACCTTTGAGCCCAACCCACTTCAGTTCAAGGCAGTTTGGAGGTACAATTTCTTTACAGTTGGCCCCCATATCACAGATATCAGTGGAGGGTGAACAGTCATCATGGACAGTTCTCTGACACCAGCAACATCGCTGATCACACAGCTCGGGGGAGTTGCCACAGTCTTCACCACACACATCACAGACGCTGCACAAGGGGACATTACCTGGTATCCACTGGTGATGCATTACCTCCCCCTTGATGCACACCTGCTTACATTTAAACTTCTTGTCTGCCGCTCTCATGTTGTGGTCGTCCACGCTGATGCCACACGAGTCGCATCTAGCCCCATGAATGATGTGGTAACCGCTGATGTTGCAGTATGTCGGTTCTGTGAAGACATCCATCATGAACCACCGATGCCCCTTACGAATATCTCGGACCGGCACTTCATAGTGTCTGAGCCTGTATCGTCGGTACAAGCGGGACAGATACACCAAAAAGAAGAGCATAGCCAACATTGCCCCGATGACCTTGTACACATCATCCATCTACAAGAAAAGAAATAATTTGATTTGGCTTAAACTCTGATTTAACAAATTAAACTCGAACAAATATTCACACTTCTAGGGCTACATAAATCAATATTCACACCCTCATATTGCACAAAGCACATTATCAAAGCATTTATTTCTCACAGGATGGAAGGTATTCCTAGAACCAGGAAGAAGTAAAATTATTATTAACACTACTTGACTATCTTCAATAATCAGGGTAATACGTACACAAAACCTTTTATCTTATGTTGATAACCAACATATTTATTTTTACATAATCACTGATAATGATAAAGTGGCTCCCTCACTTACAGGCCAGAGTTACTCATTTCCTCCAAGTACGACAGACTTGATGTATGCAGGCAAATGAATTTGGAATAGGTCATTCAAACAAGCCATCACTTGGCTGCCAACTTTGCTAGTCTTTTGATAATCAACACCATCTCATAACACTGTGTAGACCAAGGTGGCATGATTTTAGTCCTTTAGTATAAGCACTAGGCAAAACGTATTGCTTTACCAGTTTTCCAAACATGGCAGTTGGAATTGCAGTATCAAAGAAGTAAGGCTGCAGAGCCTGATCATCACAAAGTTTCATCAATAAGCATGGGTTACTGCATTGGAACCAATTCTACCCCAGAATAGGCCCATTGAAGTACCAGGTCTTTTGATTGACATAACCAATGTCCCTGATACATTAAAGATTCTGTTGAACACACTGTTCAGTGAGATAAATCCTCAAGTCAATGTCGCTTTAGTTGGACAAGCCATTGTTCAAGCAACACCTTGAATCCTGATATCACCTCTGCAAATAGGTCTTGCAGTAGCACTACATCATCACTTTGCATACAAAATTTTGATAGATACTCTCAACAGCCTTGGTTTTTGCTCTTCGTATTTAAAAGTGAAAAAGTTTGAAGTCAGTGCTGCATCATTGAGGCCTGGTCACTTCATTCAATTCACTGAGGATAATGTAGAGGAGAACATCAGGACTCTCAATGGCCATAACACTTTCATGGAATGGGAATTATTGCTGGAATCACACCAGGCATGAAACATCTCACACCAGTTCCAGGGATATCTGCTACATCTGAAGACCTTATAGCACTTGAGAAAATAAAAAGCCATTTCTACAAACAAGAGTTCAACTGCACGTCATCACTGACTTACGAGGACCAACAACAGAAACTATCATGGATTCTTCGAGCACCAGTGCCTGGTTGGTCTGGGGTATTGCCGATGATACAACAAGGATCCCACCTGGAAAATCTTCTGTCAGTTTCTTGCCACTGATTTATTTGAATCCAAATGATCTTTCCTGCATATACTCAACTCTAAAATGTGTAAGTGCAGAAGCTAGAGGCGGGTTTGGAGCATACAGACAATGAAGTTTGTAATCTACTTCTATTTGCACATGTAGTAACAGGACGTGAAACTACATCTTGTTTATTTGGAATTGGAAAAGGGAAGGCATTAAAGAAACTCAAAACAGATCCTCATTTCAAGCTTCAAACTGAAGTGTTTTCTGGAGAAGCCTTGCAAGAAGAGACTGTAAGATCTGGAGAGGAAGCCATAGCCTGCTTCTATGGAAGAGCTCCAGAAGGACTGATGGTGTAAAGGCACAGAAAGTTCAGTACTAAGGCGATGTCTCATACTGACTTCATCCAGGTCCATAATTATTACCACCATCATCCGCAGCAGCAAGTTTTCACAGCAAACAGACTTATCTTCAAGTCCAGTGGTGGATTGGATTGGGAGAGACATTAATTCCCGAACAATGGGACTGGACTACTGCCAATGGAAAAACCTTCATACATATCTACCTCCAGTACCAGTCGCTCAATGTTGTCAGATGCAACTGTAAGACAGACAGATAACCATGTAACCATGGTAACTGCAAGAAACGTGGTTTGCAGTGTTCAGTTGGATGTGGACAGTGTCATGGTGTCAGCTGTTCCGATGCATTCTCCGTGTCTCATGATGATATTCACTGTGATGAGTGAACAATATCAAAGCATACAGTACGTTCCTCAGAACTGATACATAATATTGTGATTCTAGACAAGCAAACTCAAAATAAAAAATATTTCACATTTCAGTAAAAATGTTCAGGTACATCTGACCTGATATTGAAAGTCTGAAATTTCGAATTTATGAAAAGGTCACTTTTGATGAAACGTATTTTTAGGAATATTCCTCAAATGAAAGGTTTATAGATATTTGATATGTTGTTTCAACTGACTAGATAATGCTGAGATACTAGACAAGCAAATAAACTCCCAATTAAGACCATTTCAGTCAAAATGTTGAGGCACATCAGTCCTAATTTGGAAATTTTGAAGCTTCACAATATTGAAATGGTCGCTTTGGAAATAATTTATTCTTTAAATATTCCTCAAATGAAACGTTAATTCTAGACTTTTGATATGCTGTGTAATAATCCCTTACTGTTGTGAAACAGTTGAAATGAATTCTTTTGCAATTTGTTTGTGGTTGTCTTGTTTCATTCATAGATTGACTGGAAAATAATGACACATCTTTTCCAAAAGTGCCTGTAGGAATGAACAATGCCACTGTTTTAACACAATATAGACAACAGGTTGCATACCGCTAGTGAAACCTCTGCTGCTGTCCCGACGCGAGACGTGTACCAGCCGACAATAACAACATCTCTGGTGTATGTTGTACGCGTGTTACACACAGCCCTGTCTAACGTTGACGTGTAGTTTGTGACCTGACGTGGGCCGGTGGGAGTAGACTGCGATCTTGGAGCATTTCTAGAATGGTCTGCGGAGCATGTATGTCAGTAAATGTTTATTCCCGTGAACGACTATTACCTCATCTTGGAAGAGTTATGATTCAAGGGACGCAACCAAAAAGGATATTTTACGGACGACTCCTCTGCCAGTAACCTGTACAAATGAGAATTAGGAGATATACATACTGTGTTTTCAATGTAGAGCTAGGTTACCTGTAGATTTAACCCCGCTAAATTGAATTTGGAACCGAACGCGCAGCGTTAGGTTTCAAATGTTAAATTTAGCGCGGTGTGTAACCTCGCACCTGCTGTGTGTTTCATGTTCATAATTGATTTAGTTATAGTATCGAGATACGAATCGAACTGCAACCATATTGTATCAATATTTAACAAAACGCAATTCTGAGTTGATATGATTTAATAATAACAATAACAACAACAAAAATGATAATATTAATAATCTGTCCCTTTTGACACCAATGTGATTGACAAGATTCAGGAAAACAATGGCAAGTATGCAGACCTCGCGTTCGAAATGTCACGATTGCATCCCCAGTACCAAGTTGTCCGACTCCCCATTGTTCTCGGTGCCTTAGGTTTGGTACCTCCGAATCTGTTGACTGACATTGGGAGAGTACCCGTGTTTGCTACAAGGAATACAGCCCTTCTGACAACCTGGGTAATGCAGAAGGCTGAAGTGTTGGGGAGTCTTCACATTCTCCGAAAAGTTCTGGGTGGGTTTGACTAGCCAGCTCTTCCTGGGAGAAGTCCCATTCGCTGTCTGGTAAACCCTCTTTGCTGCATTTTTTATTTTAATCTGTAAATAATAATAATAATAACAATAATAAGACAGTTATCACAATTATATATTTTTTGTTCTAAACATGATATTGCTTTGATCTTTATATCAAACGCATTCAAAATTTAGTTAACAGGCAAATTCCTGTTCCAATTCATTAGGTAAATTGTGAATAAAATGAATACAGAATTTAGGAGAGTTTCACTAAGTGAAAGGCTTTTTTGCAAATTACATCTGTATTTAGCACAGTGTTCATAACTTGAAACGATATTCTCAGTCATTACTGTTTATCATTTGTCAATGCCACGCCCCCTTAGTGTCGGAAGTATCGTACAATCTCGCGCAACTTGTCGCGTGATAGTCACCAAGATGGCCGAAGAACGAGAAACGTTGGAGTCGGTACTGAGTAAGTTGGTAGCAGACTAGACATTTTGCAGAAAATAACAGAGCACACGTTGCCTGATTGATTGTTATTTTTGAATATTTATTTGTCACATTTGTGTAAAGACGATTTGCAACAGTACCTGCATAAATGATTTCCGGTCGGCATGTGCGTGTAAATTCGTGATTGTCTGAGATGACACTGTCTGGTGGCAACGAAAGGAGTTTATCAAGGATTGCCAATCTATCTTGTATTTTGTCACTTTGCAGCGGTTACTCGGATACGTTTTTGGCGGAACCTGTGATGCAGACAAAGCTTAGTACAAAGTCATAACATATATCAATCAAAATGACCAAGGATATTTAGCCACGAATACTTATTTTGTCAAACCTATTCCTAAACTATAAAGACCAGACCATAAAACACCCGAAAAGAAAAAAGGTGGCTGCATACCCAAATTATGCAATATCTTTGTAATGATCAATGTATCATAATGCTTGTGTATTACTACAAGTCTAATTATCATCATATCACATCTCCAGGTTAGCTGTGGTTAGCTACTGTTATTATAGCATACCTGTGTCATGTATCACGTTTTCATCCTCTAAACACCTTTGTATCATGACCAGTGTCAGTCTGTGAACCTACCCCCATACTCTGAAGCCTGGGAGTAGTAACATTTCTTTCAGTCTATTCAACTTAACCAATAGCCACTAATACCCCCACATAAAGGTTATAGTATGACTTTATGATATCAAGGGCTCTGTATCATCTTGGTATCAGTAAATGTCGTAATATACATCCCCTGTCGACTCTTTACGTATGCAAAACTAAGCACAATATTTCATCGCATGATTGAATACAGGACTTGTTGTGTTATGTCACGGCTACTTGTAAGTATACACGTAAACTTTTTTATGATGGTTTCTGGAATGTTTTTTAAGTGGAATTACCCCTACCTCCATTCTAAATTGGTTAGAAGAGAATCCACTTGTTTGGACGATGTCCTTTGAGCCAACCTAGGTCGTATGAATACTGATTATGCATAATCCAAAAAAGGAAACCACATAATCCACACGTATCACACACAAAATAGGGATACCACGATAATTTAGAGGTGCCCGCCTTGAGTCTCTAATGACAGGTACTTTGTTCACCGAATTTGGGAAAGAAAATCAGCACCAATCAATCCTAATTGATGTGTCATGAAAGTTGAAAATAGAACAAGAAACATTTTTCGTATGACATAGTTAATGTGTTAGTAAGCATTCGCCATTACTATCGATTTAGGAGATAAACGTACTGTGTTTTCAATGTAGAGCTAGGTTACCTGTAGATTTAACCCCGCTAAATTGAATTTGGAACCGAATGCGAACCTAGCTCTACATTGAAAACACAGTATTCTACCAAATAAATAAAACTAAATAAAACGCAAACTCTTTTGTGTTAGCAAATATTCTGAGTGAAGCGGCATTGGTTGAGTTCAGTGTTTTGAGTGGGTTATCGATCTGAATTACGAAATCACTGAAGAAAATATGGCACCGTATATACTCAAGCTGTTTGTTTACACCGTTATACTTCACTTGAACATATGACAAGCATTGAAGGCATACAAGCACGGCAACCTGGTAAGCTAACATGAGGTGGGCATCCCTAAAGAAAACAAAGCGCAAGCTTTGCAAGGCTTTCGCTCTACATTGCACGTCACCATTATGACGTCATATCACTCCTTGTGACGCAATGATTCCAAGCTCTCTATTGTCTCCAAAATGTAAATACATTCCCTTTGTAGATTTCTATCGTGTTTTCTGCATGAAATGTATTGCCACACATCCTTTGAATATTGTAGTAACCGCATCTGCATTTTGTAACCTGTAATTGTAGCATGTAGATATAATTATTTAAATATGCCTACCGTCAATGACTGAAAATTCTTCCGCGTGATGCGGCCGTCAAACCAGCTGTTTCAATCAGAGGGGGTTTATTGTGATTTAATAGCCTCTGGTTGACCAATCAGAATCGAGTAAATTCCAAATTCATGGTAGAATATAAATGGTAGATGCGATAATATAGCGTACAATGCTACATGCCATGGTTTATCTGAAATACTGTTTAAAGCAGTGTTAAACATAATAAACCAAACTCACTCACTATGCTTTTACACTACAACCCTGCCTTCTGTTTCTTACCATAAGCATGTTACATGTGATTCCACAACAATGCAGTTTACTGGGCACTGCTTATATAGTGCTAATTGGCTCAGGCTTCCCGCCGTGGGTCTTGCTTCACAGATCTTGTATGCTCCTTTGATCCTCCGAGTTACCTCTCTTTGGTTTAGGGCAGGTCCCTTCAACTATATCCTTAGCCCTTGGATCACCTTTCCGATCCAGCACCCATTTACCGTCATTAGGGTTAGGTACCCCTTACAATTAAACACCCCTTCATGATTCTTGGGGTTGGGCACTCCTTTGCAAATTCACAGAGAAGATGGTACTGCGCATGCTCAAAAAGGTGAACAGTCGGCTGGTGATCACTTGGTAAACGAGCACTAATTAATTTTGATAGTGCCTGTGGTCCCAGCTGAGGTGTAGGCTAATAAGATTAATTCATCAGCCTAGTTTAGCTTCAAGATATCAATGTGAGTTCGATCCTCCACCATGTCCACACAGCGCTAATTGAAATAAAAAAATATGTAGCCTGGAAAAGTGCATTTCTCCAGTGATTTCTCCTTTACAAATCTAGTATAATAACCATGGTAACACTAGTCTGAAATACATTTTTTTATGGAAATGAGCTGTAGACTAGTTGGATTAAGCTCCTATATTTTCTTGTGTTGGCAACACTTTATGCTCGGTTAATTTACTGAGACCCTTTGAAGTATGTCATCATTTCAATGATATTAATATGTGAGCACTCACATACATAGTTGATGTTGAGTTCAAACAATGTTTATATGTGTTGCCAGACAAAGCGACAAACCCAGCCCAGAGAGATGAGGACTGGGACTTCATCATGGCATTCTGTGACAAGGTGAACCATGATCTGGAGGGGCCCCAGTTTGCCGTGCGACTCCTGGCACACAAGATACAGTCGCCCCAGGAGAGAGAGTCACTGTTTGCCCTCACTGTGAGATTTCCTTGTTAATCCACATTAGTCCTGACAATTATTCTTATTCACCATACCCCTGCTTGTAGATTTTCTCAAAGTGGCTAGAGTTGCATGGTATTCCCAGTTAAACTGTGTACCATGATTTGAAATACTAATGAATATGTATCACAATACATTTGGAAAATACTGGTATAATGCGTTTTTCAAAATCATGCATATTTTCATCTTGTGTGCAAAGTTTACATTCTTGTGATTGAAAAAGGTAAAACATTCGCAACCAGTTTTCTGTATATGATGTATCTATTACACATGCATTGTGACCATATATCAACAACGAGGTTGTAAAAATATGCCCATTTCAGACTTAAACTGTAAAATATAGAAAACATGATCGGAAAATCAACTTGAATATGTTTTGGTGCTATCGCAATCCATGAATCATTGTTGCGCTAAATTGCAATGCAAAAGTCTGGCCAATACCCATCACTAAAAGTGGCAGACATCTGAGACCTGCATCACTCTGTACTTTCCTGCCATGTCAACGTGATTTAGCTGACATGTCATAATACAACTGAAGTATGGTTCAATTTATGTAAAACCCAAATCATTTACTCTGTTTGAAGACACAACCTTCTTATAGCCTACACATGTACTTGACAGTATAAATGTTGTACTGTAGTGTGATCATGTTAGTTTTATCATTGTGGTTATTGTGTGTTTTCTCCTCCAGACACTGGAAGCATGTGTGAAGAACTGTGGCCGCAGATTTCATCAGGAAATTGGAAAATTTCGTTTTCTAAATGAGATTATCAAAGTTGTGTCTCCCAAGGTAAGTATGTCCATGATCACCAGGATACTGAGATTCCAGCAGTGATTTGGGGAGCCTAACATCTATCATGCTGGAATTTGCTGTGCAGAATTGTATTTTTTAGCCATGCCAAGATCCTTAAGCTCGGGGGGGCACATGTGGCCCAGTCATCATTGTTTTGCAGAGTTGTATCCCTTGGTCATCAAGGGTTCAAATCCTGGTTTGCCCTTATTATGTCTGAATACCTTTAAGCATGACATCAGGCTAACACAATCACTCACTCTGTCACGCCAGTAATGCTACACTGTTCTTGTGTTTTAACTGTTGATAGTTCCATGTAAAATATATGGTCTATATAGAATCAATGTGAACTCACTTGAACCTAATTCATCTTTTAGTTCTAAGTAGTAGGACATGTCATGAAGGTAGGGGTCCCTACAGTATTGTTACATGCAAACCCTGTTCACCTGTTCCCTCACTGACCTTCCAAATGGGGGTGTTTCCAGTATCTTGGCTCCAAGACAACAGAGAAAGTGAAGAAGAGGTGTATTGAGATTCTGTACAGCTGGAGCAAGGGCTTGACCCATGAGTGTAAGATCCAGGAGGCTTACACCATGCTCAAGACCCAGGGCATAGTGAAGGAGGATCCAACTTACGTGGACACAGTGAGTTAATCTTTACATCTGTAGAACACCTAAAGCAAAGGCTAATTTGGATAGGCATCAAGTGAAGGTTAAGCCCTATTATTACTCGAAGGGGCCTTTCGTGAAGATACTGCTGCTGTCTTTTGCATTTAGATGGCTGTTGTAGAACTAACATCATCAATTGGTTGAATACCTTTATAATATTACAGTGATCGCTCGCTATTGCGCTCTTCGATAAAGCGCTACTTCGGTTATTACGCGCGGTAACGCATGGCTCCCAAAATTTATGTACACTTTTAATACTGAGAGTTTTACACAGACATGATTGTATTGTTGTTCGTTGTTTATTTGCACATAACGCTTCTCATTGCATAATCAACGGTTTATCGCTGAATGGAGTTCTAATAATCTGTTTGAAAATATCCGCGGCAAGTCCCGGAAATACGATTGTTCAACTAGTTAACTTTTCACACTATACATCCTTTGATCTTAGAAGCGCATGCATGCAATAAAAGAGAACCACAAGTGAAGTTTATATTCTTAATTAGTGGGCAATCCAATTTAAGGCTAAACTGTCACACACATGTAGTTGCTGTCACAACACGGCGGTCATTCATTTCGTAATCGCGCTTTCGTAACATCGCCTGTTTTTTCCCCGTAGTTATAACAAGCGATTTCATTGGATTAAAATTTGTTTCAAATGACGCTTTCTTGCCGAAATCTGCTACAAGTTTCGTGATTGGTCAATTTTGAGCACGTGACCTCAGGCAGCCAATCAAGCTTTGATACAAAGCTCGTGTTTGATAAATTTCAGAAGTTAGCGAAAGATTTTTTGTTAAATCGTGTTATTCTGAAAGTTTTAAGCAGGAAATCACGATATATATTAAAAATATGGAACTTCGCGAATGTATCGTGCTAGGTTACGAGCTGTGACAAACGTATTTCATGCATATATTTTTGCATTAAACATTGTGTCCGAGCCGAGAATTCAAGGCGACGAAAGCCGAGATGTTATTTGACTTACATTACACGCGATCGCACGAAACGATGGAAATAATAACTTAGATGTAAGTTTGATTACTTTTAGATATATTTTTGTTGATTTTATTTATCACTTTGTATAATATATTTAAAGATTTGCTTAAAATAGTCTTTATTTTGCTCTTTGACATGTTCGATGCGGACCCGTTGTCGAAATGTGTGTCCGAGAATTTTATTTTCAATAACATCGCGGGAAATAGTGAATAATTTTTTAATTTATTGATAAAAAATGATAAATTAGAATGGACTACGTATTTCAGACATTGTGAAATATGACAGATTTAATAAATGAATGATATTACAGGTAGATCTAGGTCCATAAAAATATATACTATTTTGACGTGACGTGAGATAAACACATAGGCCTATTGATGATTTGAGATTTGCCGAGCGCGCTCCCCCGCCTCGGCCTCGGTTAAACGGCTCATCGTCTATAACGCCCACCAATTATTTGGACCCCATTGGTAGCGCAATAGCGAGCGATCACTGTATTTGGAAAACATTGGTTCAGGATTTTGACACCGAAGCACATCTATGTTGTTGTGGCTTATATACCTGATTATCATTCAGATTAATTAAAGACATTACCTCATCCTGAGGCAATGGAGTTAACTGACTTATAAAAGTCCAGTTTCCACTCTTGCCGAATTAGGCAGGAATTATGGAGTTACACTTTGGCTGGACCAACGAGCATAGTTCAATCAAAATCATGCAACAAAATCGACATCCAGTTCCTAATCAACATAGCCACAGCAGATTTCAGTCGACTGCAGGATTTGCAGAGGATGTCTTACAAATATTTCAGATACTTTTTCAAATATTTTCATGTTTTTAATCAAGGTGCTTAAGTGATTTGATGTACTTCACTAGATAAGACCTGTTTTATTATGATAAAGATCTTGATTATCAATGAGATCGTCTTGAATAGGCTCTGCCATTTTGTTTGAAGCAAATGCAAGACATATGAGAGATGGAACCTGATTGGTCAATAGGAAGGACATGGAAGGGACATAAATCGTAATAGCCACTTGTGGCACTATCATCGAGCTTCAAAATTCTAGCCTAGTCCGGCAAGGGTGGAAACTGGACTGTTACAATCAGTTAACTCCCTTGCCTCAGGATGATGTCTTGGGTAAAGCTGTATATTAAATTCCATGCCAGTCACACAATGTTAATGAACAAGGAAGAAATAAATTTGATAAATCCCAGTAGCTCCTAAAGGTCCTCCTGACGTGACTTGCAGTGGGATGACCTCACATCTTTGTATGGCAGCAGCAAGCATTAAGATCTGATCTTAATCATTTTCATTTTCAACTTTTAGTTCTATATCTCTATATTGGAATACAATGGCTTACGTGCCTGACAACAGTCAGTCAAGTTAAACAATGTAGTTGACGGTTCATACTGTCAACTAGAGTTTCTTTAATTATTGCTTTGGGAATTAGCTGATTGGTGCAGATTCTGTATGTGGAACCTTGGTCACCACAGTACTTTCAAATTACTGCAGTGTGCTCAGTTATCACTGTTTATCACTAATAAATCCATTTCAATTTTTCTTTGTCGGTGACCAGTTCTTCCAGGTAACCATAGCAATGTTTCTGCATTTTGCCTGTTTGTGTCAGCTTGCAGTTGGGAGTGTTTTCTGTTTACTGTTGATGTTGTCACTGCCATCTTTGTCTTCCACCAACTCTCAGAGTTCCAGGGTAAACATAAGACGTGTCTGATTTATGAACACAAGACACGTCTGATTAATGAGACATTAGTTTAAACATATGTCCTGTATGTTCATGGAATTGTACTAAATTTGGTTTATTGACATTCCTGATGAAAGACAATAGCCAGTGAAGTCAAATGTCAGATGACTGCAGCCAGACTGGCCTCACTGGTCTCACATTACCATGGCAAAATGATGTCCTGCCAGCCATTGCACTTTCATCAGACAGTACATAACGGACTGAGACACTTTACTCTTCCTTCGTGACTCAACAGGGGCACGGGTGGCCCAGTTGTGTAAGGCACTGTGATTCGCTGTGCAGAGTTGCGTCCCTTGGGCTCACCAGAAACCTATGAATGTGGGTTGAAATCCCAGTTCCCCCCAATTATGTTTCTAGGTTTGTTAGCACCATACCTGAGCTCGTGGGTTTCACCGAAGTGGTAAATGTCTGAGACCTGCATCACATTAAGCTGACACCCCCCCCCCCCCCGATATAACTGGAATAATGTTAAAACCCAACTCACTCATGACTCACCATGCAGCGACACATTTCTGTTTTTTCATTACATGACAGTGACACTTTGCTGTTCTGTTTTTAATCAGTGTCTCACACAAGTGGAGTTTGTTTGTAATCTTGCATTGTAGCACCTCTAGATAATCTAGGCCATGTCAAAAGTTTTTTCTTCTTTCGTATTGTGTTAGGTTAGTCCCTAAGAAACAGATCATGTCACCATGGCATCTAGGTCCTTAATGTTACTTTATTTAACAGTTCTGATGATCTTGGCCAATTTCGGGACTGAATTTGGATCTTGCGATTGAAATATATGTCTCTCTAAATGTTGCTGTAAAAACGTGATGTATCCCCTCCACAGCTGTATGTTGGGCTGGTATTTAACTTGAAAGGATCTCGGTTACTCAGTGCTCAAGATGGCGTTGGTGACATGTAGATGGTCGAGCCTGTTGAAAAGTTTATTCTCAATGAATATGAAGCATTTCTTTGTGATCATCTAATTGTATGTTTCCTGCAGTAATTCACTTTATTTCCTCAAGTGAAATGCATCTCTCTAACTTGATACACAGATTCAGTTAATATGTGATGCTGTTAGGGCCCACAGCATTCTCCACCGTGGAGGTTCCAGGTCAAAGTACCACCCCAGCACCTCATGTCTGTTGTATGATCATGTGGTGGAGCAACTGAAATGTGGCTTTGGTTGGTGAGACTGTGACATGGCTGATGGGTGCCAGTGGAGTGGATGGTTGTCATGTTTCCATTGCCTGGTTTTCCCGGTTGATTAGTTACACCACCCACCATGACATATCTAGGATACCGCTGGCAACATTCACTCACCAACACTTCTGTTTTTACATACACAGAGAATACTAAACAAGCCCCTGTGAAATAACAAGTGTTTTAAACAAGTGAATATTTCTGTCACCTGACAAGAGAAAACTGCTATTACAGGGGAGCTCGTTTAGTATTCCCTACTTGCCGTTTATAACTTTTTCTAAATATTTCACTCACGTGTATAACAGTTTGACAGAATAATACTTCAAACACGTCAAAAGTTGACACATATTAATATAATACCAACTCCTTTTAGAATTCAGGGGTCTGTTCCACAAAGCTTTCGTAGCGCTAAGGTTATCGTAACTCCCATACTTTTACATAGACTTACGACTGTCGTTGCGCTACAATTGCCTTGTGGAGCGGAACCCTGCACGCAAAGTTTACAATCACGTAATCAAAGTAATTGTGTGGAATTTTGTTGCAAGATCCCTGGCGAAGCAATGCCAGGTGATGTCAGCCTAGCAACAGGGTTGCTGGGGTCAGCAAATGTGCATAAGCTCCTCTCAGTGATCTATCATCTCTACACATAATGCCTTTGAATAAGTCCAGGGATATTTGTCAGTGAAACTTGTTCCTGCTGTACATAAGCAAGTGCTTTGGTATTACCCAATGTGTTAATACAGCTGTACATGTATTAACTGGGTAAGTCATAAAATACACAAATGGGTGAAGTTGTAACTTTCAATGCACAAGAACTGCTGTCCTATACACATGATACAGTCCTGCTATGGCCAAGTCAGAAGCATGACGATATTACTCTCCTTCATATCACAAATATATTGTTGGGTGTGCCCAGTCCCCCGATGTAATCACTTTGACTATCTATCACTACTGTGTTGTCCGACATGTGTGGTTGGCACAGTCATAGGCCAAAGTTGAGTTGAGTGAAGCCATGTTGTGTTGTAGGTTCCACTGTATTTGTGTTGACAGTCCCTGCTGTGATTTATGAAATTTGTTTCTTTAATCATGTTAATACTTTCTGTTTATTGTTTCATCATTATATTGATGTTGAACTTGTTGATACAAACTAAAGAAACACTAGTCATCATCCGACTGTGATGGGTCAGGTTATGCTGCCATGGCTGAGTCATTCAATTCCCAGATCACGGGGATATCTCATTGAATGATGTGCCATGTAAAATAGTAAAACTCTAGAAATGGATAGTACTTTGTTCTGGATCCTGGTTTGTTTTACATTTTGACTTCAAAGGATTATATGAAACTTGAGAAATGGATGTACCGGTAGTAATCAACAGGAATGAGAATCTTCCACTGATCCGCAGATTTCCGTCACTTTTAGTGACCACAAATTTGTTAAAATCTGATGGTTTCCCCCACAAACAATTATGGACCACGCTCTATTGCAAAGAAGTTTCAGCTGAAAAGGAAAATATGCATTCTCATGCTTGAATCAAGGGATTGTTGTGATAATCAGTGACAATGATAGTTATTTTAAACAATGTAGTTACCATGGTTACAGCCAGACAAGCATCATATGGGAATGGTTCTTATGTAGTCATAAAGGGTATGCTTGCTTGCCAAGAGGACTGATGACAGATATGTTAGTGTTAGCACGTCATGTTCATCTTCTGCACATGAAACAATTACAAAGTTCGAGAGATCAGTTGTACAGTATAAGCTATAGCCATGATAGGACCTTCAATACATATAAAGTCTGTCATCCCAGAGAATTGTGAACTCCTAGACATGGGACAAACATGGTATCATCTTGAAGGATGTCCAACATTTACTGTTGCCTAAACAAGATCACTAATCCTGCCGCTTAGTTGATAGGATTTGATATTTCTGACTTGGGTATCCCAAGTGGTGGAATGTGCTGATGAATCTGATGAAAAACTGTTGAGAATATGTACAATAGAATGTATAGATGTTGTCATGTTGTTAGGTTGCTTCTTACTGGCCTGTATTAAGATAAGAAAAGACATTGTATTTCATTCATCACTGTTTAAACACTTAGTTACGTTCTCTCTTTCATTTAAAAATTTAGTATTGACACAATACATGGACATGCTAACCTACAGAATGACTTAAGACTGTTACAGATGTTTCTTGTGATGAGTATGACAAGCAAAACGACCTATGAACAACCGGGTTAAAGTAGGTCTTCAGAAACCCACTTGCCGTGATAGGCAACCATGCTTGTTGTAAGAGGCGATTATGGGATCAGGTGGTCAGGCTTGCTAACTTGGTTGTTGCTTGTCATCGTTCCCAATTGCGTGGTTGATGCTCATGATGTCGATCACTGGATTGTCCAGACAAACCACCGTCATATAGTTGGAATATTGCTGAGTGAGGCATTTAACAACAAACAAACAAACAAGTCAAATGACAGCATTAATAATCCCTGTCTGTACTTCAGACCTTCGAGATCCCCCCAGAGCGGCCACGTAATGCTGTGTTTGAAGATGACGAGAAGGCCAAGGTAGGTAAAAGAGATGTAGATCTCATGCAGGTCATGTGATGAGACTGTAATGCGAATCAGCTAGTCAAAATGGCTACTCTGTAGGAATAGTGACCTTCAGGGTAGACCAACTTTCAGCTTTGACCAGGACCACGTTCCACAAAGTGTTCTATTGTAATTCCCGTCACTGACCGTTATAGTGCTCATTCCACAATGACGCCGTGGCTGATAGGTGCCCTCTACCCTGTAGACATGGTTTCATTCCACAATGACGCCGTGGCTGATAGGTGCCCTTAAACCCTGTAGACATGGCTTCATTCCACAATGACGCCGTGGCTGATAGGTGCCCTTATACCCTGTAGACATGGTTTCATTCCACAATGACGCCGTGGCTGATAGGTGCCCTTAAACCCTGTAGACATGGCTTCATTCCACAATGACGCCGTGGCTGATAGGTGCCCTTATACCCTGTAGACATGGCTTCATTCCACAATGACGCCGTGGCTGATAGGTGCCCTTCTACCCTGTAGACATGGCTTCATTCCACAATGACGCCGTGGCTGATAGGTGCCCTTCTACCCTGTAGACATGGCTTCATTCTGACACTACCTGCCACTGATGTTACATAGGGCACTTTCAGTAAGACACAGTATACTGTCACAAGAATCTCCTTAAAAGCTCATTTCAATTTGGATTTTTTTTTGCCTATTAGACTTAAAAAATAAAAGAATTGGTTCTCAGGTAATGACTTTTGAAAATATAGTGCAAGTGGGCAGTGTTTTTTGTTTTTTTTAGCTTGTTCAAACTAGAATGTAACCACATAAAAAGTTGTGTACCATCAACCTGGGAAAGGGCCTCCCTACATCAACAAGCATACAAACTACAAACCTATTGCCGCAATGACCATAACACGAGCTGCGCAGTGTGCATGTAAAGGGAAATAACTGCATGCTGTATTGTATTGCTTTGTTTTTAAGTTTTAGGATTTTTTTGTTTAATATTTTAAATGGAAATAAGAAAGAAACATGTGGCAGACTTTATCATGATGCGGGCGGTGCCTGAGAACCAAGACTATTATTTCTTTTAGCCTACTGTGATGAAAGCCTGGCTTGAAACATCACTGAACCTGTCTTTGTGTTGTAGCTTCTGTCTAAACTCCTGAAGAGTAAGAACCCCGATGACTTGCAGGCTGCCAACAGACTCATCAAGAACATGGTGAAGGAGGTAATACCACTGTGACAGGTTCCTGTCTATTGCAGCAGATCACATCCAGGGCTTAGTGTGGTCTTGATAGACTTCAAGTATCCTGGATATCTTTAACAGATTCAATATGTTTGACAGAGTACAAGTGTCTATCATGTCTATGATATGCAGTTTATTAACCAAGATTAGCTATCCAGACTATCCAGACTATCCAGACTATCCAGACTATCCAGACACATAATATCAGTTTGTTGCAGTGGTGTGAAAAAATTGTAAGAAGTTTCAAGAGTGAAAAGTGTGCTTCCAATGTTTCGAATATTAAAATGTAAAGTAAAGGTTTTCATGTAGAGACACATGACAACTTTTTCAGCATGTTCATGCCTTGCTTTATAAAATGTGTTGAACAAAGTAACTAGAACTGGTAAGTATATGCCTCTAACACGCTGGCTGGTCCTGGCTGTAGGATGCGGCTAAGTCGGAGAAGATATCCCGGCGGATCAATGAGCTGGAGACCATCAGCAACAACGTGAAGCTGCTGACAGAGATGATGTCCATCTACGACAAGAACACCACCACACAGGCAGAGAAAGACATGATGAAGGTATGTGCTACCTCCAAATGACAGGAGCCATGTTGTGGAGGATATTTCCTTGATCTCCCAAACTAGTTGTTATGGACTGGTGCAACGCATTGAAGAGTAGTTTACTTCAAGGACGGTTGTATTGTCATGTTAACACAGACAGATCTGTTGCACTTGATTTGGAAATCATTGACAGCTATTTGTAGAGAAGCTGCGATAGTGAACATGGTGTTAAATTGAATATGAGTCAGTCACTTGAATGGTCATTTTGGGAGGTAACCTGCTGCTGTTTGTACTGCACCATGAGTTGGTATGACATGTTTGTAAGAGCTGTCACCCATATTTCAAATTGACAGTAGCAAGCGTGTGATTGGCTGAAATTGAGGGTCAAGGTCATTTTACAGGAAGTGCAAGTGACACTTTTATTAAGGTAGCTGCAGGCATGCATCCAGAAGTGATGTCATTAAAACAGAAGTAATGTCATTAATCCAGAAGTGATGTCATTAAACCAGAAGTGATGTCATTAATCCATAAGTGATGTCATTAAACCAGAAGTGATGTCATTAATCCATAAGTGATGTCATTAAACCAGATGTAATGTCATTAATCCAGAAGTGATGTCATTAAACCAGATGTAATGTCATTAATCCAGAAGTGATGTCATTAAACCAGAAGTGATGTCATTAATCCATAAGTGATGTCATTAAACTAGAAGTGTTGCCTTTAAACCAGAACTGATGTCATTAATCCAGAAGTGATGTCATTAATCCATAAATGCCACTGGAAGGGAATTCCATATCATTTTCATCTTTCATAAGCAAGAGAAATGGGACTTTCAGGTTGTAGGTCCTGTATATCTCAGAGCAAGTCGTGTCATTAGACTGGAAATGCATGTTGGTTCCTCAATTGAATTGGCCAGGCAAGTTATTTTAATCTGTTTGAGGTTGCTCAAGGCCTGTGTTTCCCCTCACTGAAGCTGATAGTTGTGTCAGCCAGGAAGTATATGGTGGTAAATAGTGAGTCCTGGGCCCTTCTGGAAATGAAAAGGGGCGGTCGGGTAGCCTTAGTAGTTAAAAGCACTGCTCATCATGTTGAAGACCCGGGTTCCTTTTCCAACATAGGAACAGTGTGTTTAGCCCATTTCTGGTGTCCCCAGCTGGAATATAGCTGATATATAGCTGATATTGCTGGAATATTGCTAAAAGGAGTGTAAAACCGTCCTCGCTCACTCACTCTGGAAATGAAAATGAAGAAGCTGCTTCTGTTTGTAGAAGTATTTGCAGTCGTTTTCCTGGTTTATGTGGGACATTAACAGTGATTGATATACCAGTACTACACCTAGACCATGTGTTTTCCACAGGAGCTGCATGCAACACTGGAGAAGCTACGCCCCAACTTGTTCCGGCTCGCCAGCGATGTAGATGAGAAAGACAGTGACGGAATCAGTGAGTCACCAATATTTCCAGACCTAAGTTACTTGTATAAACCTACTTGTTCAAATCAGTTCAAATGCAGAAGTTTCAAATTTCATATTGATTCATGAAAAGATGAAATGTAAATTAAAATTTGAATCCCGCATGGGACTCAACCCCCAAAAGTACCAGAATCACCAATACTACTAAATGGCATTGTGTATTCAGTGGCCATACTTGCCATGGTAGAGGTTATTGTATTTTCTTCTTGTTTGAAGATGATATCCTGAAGGCTAATGACACAGTTATGAAGACAATGGGAGAATATAAGTCCAAGGTTGAGGGAATCCATGAAGAAGGAGACTGGGCTCATGGCAAAGGTAGGGGACTCTTGCTGCTGCTTTGGGAAGGAAAGCTGTGCAGATATTTGCTTCATGCAACAGTTATGTTTTGTGTACCAAGAAATGCTTAGCATTTGTACCTGTAGTTAATTGTAAACAGGTGAGATACTGTAGGCTTGGGATGCTAGTTGCTTTGTGTTATCAGATTGAAATAAATTTGTTTTATATTTATTTAAGCACATTCCAACTTTGAGTTTTATCCAGGTGGTGGATTGTCATTACTTTTTAGAAGTTGACCTTTTTGTGTTAAATTTTGTTTATTTATTAAAAGACCTGCTATGTGATCATAGCAGGTTCACTTCAGATCTACCAACTGGACAGACATAGTCCTGTCCTTGTCCCTACTGTTGAATAGCACAGTCCTTGGTTGTAGCCGTAACTGTTGAATAACATTGTCCTCTGGTCAACTGTTAAATATCACAGTCCTCTGTTGTAGCCATAACTGTTGAATAACATTGTCCTCTGGCCTAACTGTTGAATAGCACAGTCCTCGGTTGTAGCTGTAACTGTTGAATAAGATTGTCCTCTGACCTAACTGTTACATAGCAAAGTCCGCTGTTGTAGCTGTAGCTGTAACTGTTGAATAACTTTGTCCTCTGGCCTAATTGTTGAATAGCACAGTCCTTGGTTGTAGCTGTAACTGTTGAATAACATTGTCCTCTGGCCTAATTGTTGAATAGCACAGTCCTTGGTTGTAGCTGTAACTGTTGAATAACATTGTCCTCTGGCCTAATTGTTGAATAGCACAGTCCTCGGTTGTAGCTGTAACTGTTGAATAAGATTGTCCTCTGACCTAACTGTTACATAGCAAAGTCCGCTGTTGTAGCTGTAGCTGTAACTGTTGAATAACTTTGTCCTCTGGCCTAATTGTTGAATAGCACAGTCCTTGGTTGTAGCTGTAACTGTTGAATAACATTGTCCTCTGGCCTAATTGTTGAATAGCACAGTCCTTGGTTGTAGCTGTAACTGTTGAATAATATTGTCCTCTGGTCTAACTGTTGAATAGCACAGTCCTCGGTTGCAGCCGTAACTGTTGAATAACATTGTCCTCTGGCGTAACTGTTACATAGCACAGTCCGCTGTTGTAGCCGTAACTTTGAATAACATTGTCCTCTGGCCTAATTGTTGAATAGCACAGTCCTAGGTTGTAGCTGTAACTTTTGAATAACATTGTCCTCTGGTCAACTGTTAAATATTACAGTCCGCTGTGGTAGCCATAACTGTTGAATAACTTTGTCCTCTGGCCTAACTGTTGAATAGCACAGTCCTCGGTTGTAGCTGTAACTGTTGAATAACTTTGTCCTCTGGCCTAATTGTTGAATAGCACAGTCCTAGGTTGTAGCTGTAACTGTTGAATAACATTGTCCTCTGGTCAACTGTTAAATATCACAGTCCACTGTTGTAGCTGTAACTGTTGAATAACTTTGTCCTCTGGCCTAACTGTTGAATAGCACAGTCCTCGGTTGTAGCTGTAACTGTTGAATAACATTGTCCTCTGGCCTAACTGTTGAATATCACAGTCCTTGGTTGTAAAGGTGTCTGTTGAATAACTATGTCCTCTGGTCAACTATTGAATAGCACAGCCCGCTATTGCAGCCGTAACTGTTGAATAACATTGTCCTTTGGACAACTGTTGAATAGCACAATAAGCTGTTGTTACTGTAACTGTTGAATAACATTGTCGTATGTCCTAGCTGTAACTGCTTGTCATGCAATGTGCATTAAATTACTGTAACATAATCTGGTGCCATCAAAGTGACCCCTAAGTATACACAAGACCTGGCGCCTTCATAGTGATCCCCATCTATACTCCTCACAGATGCCTCCTCATTACTGGATCTCAACTTTGAACCATCGCCCAGCAGAGCAGCTAGAATTGAGCAATCCGCAACCTCCACCTCAACAGCCATCTTGGAGGGCGAATTCCAGGCATTAGGTAGTTTGTTTTAGGGATTATGAAAGAATTATGATATGAAAAGTTGTGCCATTTGATTTTCATTATGACATTTAAACAACATTGTTACTGAGTTGTGTCCTTAGACCTCCTGCTTTCTTATGGTAAACATGTGGTGGCGGGGATTGGCTATTGCTGCTTGTGATGTATACAGACGACTTTCTGGCAAGGGGCCAATATCCATTTTCCCTTTGTTTCAAAGCATGAGGGAAAAGAAAGATGCTTTAATGTTCAACAAGGTGATGATGATGAATCAATATGATCATATCAAAAAGGTCTTTCATTTTCCGTTTGCATCATTTACCACTCTTTGTAAGTAATCCTGCTTTGCAAACTTCTACTACATGCCAAGAAAGTGTTACTTGAAGTAAACTTGGCTGAAACATGTTTTCTTGTGTTGTCAACAGAACAAAAGCAGCTGCTATTTTGACTGCTACAAGCATAGGTATTTTAAAAGGAGGTATTAAGTCATCAGTGTAGTTACATTGACTGTTATGAAACATGTGCCTCCCTCCCTCGATTAGGTCTGGATGACAAGAAGGTGTCCGGGACCCAGGCGTCCGACAGCTCTGTCCTCAGTGAACTAGATGACATATTTGGAGCTGCTGCACAACAGGTACTTCTTGCAGGTTTCCACACATTTGAAAAGGCCTTTAATTGTTTTGTTCTGTCTCTATTGAAAAATCCTTGAATGTCGATTCTTCCATAAAAAGGTTTGAAAAAGGATAATTTGCCTTGGAAAGGTGCTTTTGATCAATTTACAGTAGTCATCTCCTTTCCAATGAATAGGTGTCATGTGATCAAGAGTCAAATATGCCCAAATCTGTAACAACTGTGCAGCAGTGCAAGTAGCCAGGTTGAGAAGGAAGTTGACATACACGTGCTACAAATATTTACATCCCTTTTCCAGCCTGTTTCCAAACCCCCGCAGCCTGCTTTGTCTCAAGCCATGTCCACAGCAGGAATGTTTGCCTCCGGCACAGCGCCAGTCATGGGAGCAGCGGCACCATTCCCCGTCATGGTGCCAGCGATGGGCCAGCAGCCTGGATTTTCACCATTTGGGCAGCTGCAGCAGCCTGTAGCACCAGCAGTACAAGGTACCACTGTTCTGTCATACACAACCTGTAGTACCAACAGTACAAGGTACCACTGTTCTGTCCTACACAACCTGTAGTACCAGCAGTACAAGGTACCACTGTTCTGTCATACACAGCCTGTAGCACCAGCAGTACAAGGTACCACTGTTCTGTCCTATACAACCTGTAGTACCAGCAGTACAAGGTACCACTGTTCTGTCATACACAAACTGTAGTACCAGCAGTACAAGGTACCACTGTTCTGTCCTACACAACCTGTAGTACCAGCAGTACAAGGTACCACTGTTCTGTCCTACACAACCTGTAGTACCAGCAGTACAAGGTACCACTGTTCTGTCCTACACAACCTGTAGTACCAGCAGTACAAGGTACCACTGTTCTGTCATACACAACCTGTAGTACCAGCAGTACAAGGTATCACTGTTCTGTCCTACACAGCCTGTAGCACCAGCAGTACAAGGTACCACTGTTCTGTCCTACACAACTTGTAGCACCAGCAGTACAAGGTACCACTGTTCTGTCCTATACAACCTGTAGTACCAGCAGTACAAGGTATCACTGTTCTGTCCTATACAACCTGTAGCACCAGCAGTACAAGGTATCACTGTTCTGTCCTATACAACCTGTAGTACCAGCAGTACAAGGTACCACTGTTCTGTCCTACACAACCTGTAGCACCAGCAGTACAAGGTACCACTGTTCTGTCCTACACAACCTGTAGCACCAGCAGTACAAGGTACCACTGTTCTGTCCTACACAACCTGTAGCACCAGCAGTACAAGGTACCACTGTTCTGTCCTATACAACCTGTAGCACCAGCAGTACAAGGTACCACTGTTCTGTCATACACAACCTGTAGCACCAGCAGTACAAGGTACCACTGTTCTGTCCTATACAACCTGTAGTACGAGCAGTACAAGGTATCACTGTTCTGTCCTACACAAACTGTAGTACCAGCAGTACAAGGTACCACTGTTCTGTCATACACAAACTGTAGTACCAGCAGTACAAGGTATCACTGTTCTGTCCTATACAACCTGCAGCACCAGCAGTACAAGGTACCACTGTTCTGTCCTACACAAACTGTAGTACCAGCAGTACAAGGTATCACTGTTCTCTCCTATACAACCTGTAGTACCATCAGTACAAGGTATCACTGTTCTGTCCTATACAACCTGTAGTACCAGCAGTACAAGGTACCACTGTTCTGTCCTACACAACCTGTAGTACCAGCAGTACAAGGTACCACTGTTCTGTCCTACACAACCTGTAGTACCAGCAGTACAAGGTACCACTGTTCTGTCCTATACAACCTGTAGCACCAGCAGTACAAGGTATCACTGTTCTGTCATACACAACCTGTAGTACCAGCAGTACAAGGTACCACTGTTCTGTCCTATACAACCTGTAGTACCAGCAGTACAAGGTACCACTGTTCTGTCCTACACAACCTGTAGTACCAGCAGTACAAGGTACCACTGTTCTGTCATACACAGCCTGTAGCACCAGCAGTACAAGGTACCACTGTTCTGTCCTACACAACCTGTAGCACCAGCAGTACAAGGTACCACTGTTCTGTCCTACACAACCTGTAGTACCAGCAGTACAAGGTACCACTGTTCTGTCCTATACAACCTGTAGCACCAGCAGTACAAGGTACCACTGTTCTGTCCTACACAACCTGTAGTACCAGCAGTACAAGGTACCACTATTCTGTCCTATACAACCTGTAGTACCAGCAGTACAAGGTACCACTGTCCTGCACTTCTGATTGCATGGCATGGCTGCAGATAAGCTGTGCTATTACTCACTCACTCACTCTAAATAGAATTGGTATTTTTAGGTGATTTCCAAATTAAAATTTCAATGCAGTTACTGACCACACAAGCTCAATAAATAATCAATATATTATATAGAAACACACAGTTTTAGGTTTACACTCATTAAATGAGTCAAATAAGTGGCAGCAGCGACAAGTAACAGGCCCTACAATATATGTCGGTGCACTCATGAATGTCAAGAAATTTTCACTGTTCATCAAATAGACCTGTCTTTGTTCTTGAGTCAGAAATAGTGATAGAAGCTGGCAGGGATTCAGTGTTTTCAGATAGGCCTTTAATTACATTGGTGTCGCTCTTATGTATAGAGCCCACCCAAAACCTCTAAAACTTTCAAGCTTGTAATTGTTGTTAGTAACCAAGGGAGGTAACTCTAATCACACTTCCTGTTACAATCGGGCAACAATGTTTGCTGCTACTGATAATCACTACAAATAAATCTACAACAACCTCTACTGCCACATAACAGTATGAAACATCCTTGTCTGTTTCGTCTTCCTATTGTGTGTAAATGCTGTTGGGTATTAAAGCACATCAACCAGAATACATCCTATGACTGTTGCTACCTGCAGGAGTTCAGGCCTCAAGCGCATCAACTGGCGTGTCATCACAGAAAGTACCAGTGACTGCAATGGCTGACCTTGACCTCCTAGGTCAGAATCTGCTACAGCAGAGTTTGGGTGGAAAGGACCAGCGCAATCACTTCCCTCCACAACAGTACGTGTTTTTCCTTCTCTCACACTCTTTGGTTAAACATCCATGTTGGGCAACAGTAGGTGGCCGTCTGCCTCTCACACGCTCTCATCGTTGAAGTCTTCCATGTTTCAGAACAACACCAAAGAAGATGACCATGAATCAACTTGCTGCGGTGTCTGCTGGTAGCCAATCAGCACCAGGCACACAGCCTACTTTACTTTTATTAGCCAATCAGAATTCATCCTCACAGTCTACAGCAATACTCAACCCAGTGGGTCCCGGGAGTGCTGTATCACAAGAGCTACTTCCCCTAACTGACATCTTCGTTCCCCTAGAAAACATCAAACCAGGTGAGATAGCTATATCCATAGCAAAATATACCAGTGAAAATATTAGGGAATATCCAAAAATGACAACAGATCTGATATACATGCAGATGTGTTTATTGTTGGTAATGAGTGGATCAAGTTCCCAACAATGAAGGATTTGACAAGACATGCTTATCATTTCATAGAGGGAAGCTGCAATCAAAACAGCTTGTCATGGTCATCTGGGGTGAAGTTTGAAAAAACAATGTGTTGCCCATAAGTAATGGGTGAATTACATTAAGTAATACGTTACCACTGTTATACCGAGGCTGTTGTCTCCCACAACTGCTGCTATAGCGAAATCTACCACAGAGATCTCAATTACCTCATGCAGCACGTGCGTAGCCACCTAGCTGCCATGTGACACCCTTCACTCTTGTCTCTTCGCTTGCTCTAGCAAGACGTACAATAAACTGCTCAAGCGTTCCAGTTTCTCCGACCATTCGGTGATATTTATTACTGTTTATTCTCTCTAATAAACTGTGCTTTTACGGGGCGTTTGCTGTAACTACGCTTGGAAATATTTTCCCGCCAAAAGGAAATATTTTTCCCGCCCTTTTTTTCTATATACTTGCGGGGTGTCTCGTATGCACGTTGCGTCTTACGTTCCCCTGTTCTAGTATATCTTGGGGTTTTTACATCACTTATACCTCTATATGTTATATGTGTATGTTCTATATTCACATTGCTCGTTTATTTTCTTGTGAAAATACTCGTTTGTGACTATTTGTGGTGCGTGTGTTGTAACCATGTTTTGCTCTTTGTTCATAGTACAAACAAAATGTCTGACATGGATGTTTCGCCGTCCTCCACCCCCTCTACCCCCGCAACCAGGAGCTGCGGGGTGTGCCGCAAGCGAGCGCTACCGGCTGTATGTGCAGTCCGTTTCCACCCCTGTGGTGGCCGGCTCGTCCGGTCGGGGTCCCCTTGCGGGTACCACCACCACGGCTGCGGCGGATCCCTTGGCGGCCCGTGGGCTGTCCGGGGATTCCGTCGCTGCATTACTTGCATAACTTGTGGACTCCAAGCTGGCGGCCTTATCTCAGGATAGGCCGCTGGCTGTTCCGTCCCCGGCCACTTAGGTGGCCGCGGGGTCAGACGCGGGGTTCACCGGTACGGCGGCGGCTCCCGTGGTCACCGGTCCTTCCCACGAACCGTTGCTCCCGCTATCGGTTAAGGACCGCGTGGCCATGGTTTATGACCTCTTTGAGGACATGCCCCGGCCGGTACCGCGGGGAATCCACGACTGTGGGTTCCTCCGAGGTATACGATGAGTCTTCCGACACGGCTTTCCCCGCATCAACCTTGCTGCGCGGTATCAAGCCTTCCTTGGAGAACGCCTTCGCGGCGGCCTCCGGTCGGGGTCTCCCGTTGCCTCCGACGTCGTGGAGAAAGGGTTTATTCCCGGTACATGTCCTTGCCTTTCCCGAGGCTGGTCCTACCGCGGAGGCCCATGTTGAGCGGTTGGGTGTCCATGCCCCATTGGCTGCTACGGTAACGCAAGCTACCTTGCACCAGCTGGACGCCCTCGCTCGGCACTCCATGTTTTTTAACGGAGACACTTACTTGGCTGCAGCGGCCCGTCTGGTCGAAGGTTCTCCCACGGACCGTGACCAGCGCATTTACAACTGCCTGCTCAGTTTAAATGCTTCCCTGGAGTACGTTGCCGAGGACTCTCGGCACACACTTGCTCTTGTTGGGTCCCTGCATAGGCGCCTGGGTGCCGCTCCTAACCGGAGCACGCCCCAGGCTGCTGCGGCCGGTAGGTCTAAGGGGTCGGGTTCTTCTTCCTCTGGGAAGTAGCCCCGCCCTGAGGGCTCCGGTATGGGCAATCAGCTGCCCTTTCGCGGGAAGACGGGGAACTGGGGGAAGCTCACGTCGTCTAAGGACGGCAAGGGCCCCTCCAGATGACTCTCATTGGAGGGGTTCGTATGCCGACAGCGCCATCTTCGGTTGGCCCTTAGGTGAACCCGAGTCACTTGGCCCTTGACAGTTGCGCCTGCCGCAGCCTGTCAGGGCCCCCTTTTCTTCCCCAGTGGGAGCCAGACTCCAGACTTACGGGGAGAATTGGGAACAAGTGTTCGACGACCCGTGGGTGGTCAACACGATTCGGTACGGCTATCGGCTTGATCTCAAAGCGAATCCGCCGCTCACCGTTGCCCTGTTGGCAGGTTTCGATTCGGGAACCGATCTTCCCATCCTCGCCGATGCCATCGGCAGGTTGGTGGAGAAGGGGCAGTACAGGAGTTAGCTCTACCAGAAATAACACCGGGGTTTTACTCCAGGATATTTCTCGTTCCCAAGTAGGACAGTGCCAAACTCAGAATGTTTCACACGTCCGCTCACTGGCTGTTCACCCGGTTAACCACCCCCATAGTGGGGTTCCTCCACAGGAGGGGTGTCCGGTACTTCGCGTACCTGGACGACTCGCTAGTAGCAAATCGAATGACGGACACCCTGTCACGCCATCTCGTTTTCGCACGTCGGCTCTTGGAGCAATTGGGGTGGATTATCAATCTCCCCAAGAGCGAGTTAACCCCTTCTCAGAACTTGCTGTTCATCTCGGAGGTTGGTTCAACACGGTGTCCCATCGCCTCTTTGTCCCCCCAGACCGGTGGCACAAGATTCAGGCGATGATTGCCAAAGTCTTAGCGGTGCAACAGACTGTTCACTTTTGGGATCAGCTGTTAGGGCTACTTGTATCAGCCCAGGACTGCACCGAACGGGGTCGTCTCCAACTCCGCCCGCTGCAACGGTTTTTAATCCAGTTGTTAGCAACGGAGGTGAACAGTGCGACCGTCGCCCTCCCGGATCGGTTCCGACCGCATCTGGAGTGGTGGACGGTCCCTTACAATGTCTTATCAGGAGTCTCTATGTGGCCCTACCGGGCCACGTTGACCCTGTATACAGACGCCTCTCTAGTGGGCTGGGGCGCCCATCTAGAGGGGGAGGTGAGCTCGGGGCTGTGGTGCGTAGACGAACTAGGTCTTCACATCAATTGTCTCGAGTTCAAGGCAGTGATCAACACAGTCAATCACTGGAAGCATCGTCTCGTCAACACCCGGCTCATGCTGGCGACCGACAACACGACGGTAGTGTCCTATGTGAACAAACTGGGGGGAACCCACAGTCACTCGCTACTCGATCTCACGTTCGAGTTTTACGCTCTGGTGGACAGTGTCCCGTGCCAGATACGCGCCTGTCACATCCCCGGTGTGCGGAACGTACTGGCCGATGCTCTATCGAGGCCTCGGGATCCGAGCCCCACAGAGTGGATGCTGAACCCAGTAGTGTTTCAGTGGCTGTGCGAACGTTTGGGTCGTCCGATGGTCGACCTGTTCGCAACGCGGTTCAACAATCAACTCCCGTTGTTTGTATCACCAGTCCCGGACCCGAGGGCCATCGATCACGATGCTCTCGCATTAGACTGGACGGGCTTGGACGCTTATGCTTACCCGCCGACAGCGTTGATACCACACATTCTAAGCCGGCTCCGAGGAGTTCGCTGTCCAATGTTACTGATCGCGCCCATGTGGCCGAACAGATCGTGGTACCCCGACTTGCTGACCCAGGTCACGCAGTCGCCACTTCCACTGCCTGTGAGACCGGATCTCTTGATCCACCCTCACACCCGTCAGCTTCATCCAAACGCAGGGCAGTTCAATCTGCACGCGTGGATGTTGTCACCGAGCGTCTGAGGAGTAAAGGTTTTTCTCGCCGGGCGTCTCGGGCATATGTTAGTATGCATCGTGATTCTCCCCAGAAGGTGTATAATGCACGTTGGGTTATTTTCGCGAAGTGGTGTTGTAAACATCACATTCATTCGCCAGATAAGGTATCTGTGCAGGATATTGCTCGTTTCATGTCTCACTTGCGAGAGACCCGGAAACTCTCCGGGGGTTCAATTGCCAACTATGTCTCGTCCGTTGCTACGGTACGGGACGGGACGTTGCTATGGGTACCAGTCTCTCCAAAGAGCCGGTGATACGGGGTATTATCAAGGGTTTCAAACAGCACGATCTTAAGAAGGGCCGCCTTCGGGCACCGGCCTGGGATCTTTCCCTAGTGTTGCAATCACTTACGGAAGCTCCGTATGAACCCTTGCATAGTGCTTCGTTCCGGCATGTGACTTGGAAAACAGCATTTCTCCTCTCCTTTGCCACGGCGGCACGTGTATCCGAAATTCATGCACTCGATGTCGCCAAGGTACGATTCGATAGGGGTGACGAAGGAGCGGTCCGCCTGGGCCTGCTCATGGGCTTCGTCGCCAAGAATCAGAGAGTCGGGCAAACGGAGAGAGAATTCACTGTAAGATCACTCAAAGAAATCTTACATCCTGCTGATACTGAGGACAGAGCGCTGTGTCCGGTTAGGGCCCTTAAGTATTATCTTAAGGCTTCGAATGAACGTAGACAAGGTCTCGGGGGTTACCGGTAGCGGGGTCACACCCGCACGAGATCAGGGCGCTAGCGGCAACATTTGCCCTACACTCGAATATCTCTGTTCGCAGAATATTACGAGGTTGTTACTGGCGTTCTGACTCGGTTTTTGCCAATCATTACCTCAAACAGGTCGCTGATGCCGTCGTGGAGAGTGTGCACTGTCTTGGCCCGCGGATCGCGGCGCAAGCGGGCACCTAAGGGGTGTGCCCAGCGCAATTCCGAACTCCTCAGGCGTCAGACCTTGCACGGTGGTCAATCTGGATCGACTCCATTGTTCCCACTGCCGTGGGTACAGGAGTTGGGGTCCCGCAAACCAGCGCACTCACACCACAGGTGAGGGCGGCTTTTTGTGTGCTTTGTCCTTATTTGTATTTTGACAATTATGTATTTAATTGTCTGTCGTGTATCCCAACCTTGTGATGCATGCTTACAAATACTGGAATTAGGTCACGCGCCTAATGCATACTTTAAGTAGGCTTGCTCTGGGATATACGGTCTGAATAAAATTAATTTCCCTCTTTTCGACTGTTTAACCTGATCTAAGATTTAGCTCACGCGGATACAGTGTTCTCATCCGCTGCGGCGATGAAATACCTATCCAGTGGGGCCGTTTGGAGTCACCAATCGTTTTGGCAATGACGATTGAGCCTTACGGTATGCGCTTGACAGTGCTTTGGTATTCCTATAGGGTAACGCCTAGCTAGGTGCATGCGCATCGAGTGCTTCCGCCTTGGTGTTTACTTCCGCTGGTCGGAAGGAACGCTAGCAGTCAGGATTCGGGTTGTAGGTGCTCCCCACCGCCTACTGTGGTAGTCAGCCTCGGTATAACAGTGGTAACGTATTACTTAATGTAATTTGTAGAATTTTCCTATTCGGAATATTCTATAAGTAATACGTTACCACTGGGCTGCTGCCCGCCCGTCCGTCCCCCGAGCACTTGCTCTCGCAAGAGACAAGAGTGAAGGGTGTCACATGGCAGCTAGGTGGCTACGCACGTGCTGCATGAGGTAATTGAGATCTCTGTGGTAGATTTCGCTATAGCAGCAGTTGTGGGAGACAACAGCCTCGGAATAACAGTGGTAACGTATTACTTATAGAATATTCCGAATAGGAAAATTCTACAAAATTACCAGGTCTCAACATGGCATGCTCCTGATCAGCTATCCACTGGTCACTGTTGGTATCCCACACATGTGGTGCACAAGGCCCAGGTTATCTCGGGTAGTGCCAGGCATTGTAAATGTTGACTGGTGTTGTGCTCAACAGGGGTAAAATTGGGGCTCAGTGTAGGTCACACTAATGTGATGCTCCACTACTCTACTGTGTGCTTGTCCATTGTCATATTGGACGGCCCTCTCACTGATGGAGTGCAGTGTGTCCGTTATGGAGATCCCACCCTCTACCATCACTGACCAACCACCACCATACCAAGCATTCTGGCTCACAACTAAGTTGTGTTAGTTTCACACCTATCAAGGAAGTCTAGGGTGAATCTGGATTCATCTGTGAACAGTACACGTGAACATTGTTTGTTCCCCAAGTGCCTCTGCACCATTTCAGGCTGCGGTGTGGTGATCACACAAATGTGGCTGTCATGTATGCAGCTGCCTGAAATGGAACTCAAGCACCAGTATCCCTGTGTAGGCCTACATGGTGGGTGATGTCACCAGCTGTTAGTCCTTCATTTCCTAGAACCTGAGTCAACATTTTGTGTTTGGCATGATCTGTTCGACAATCTGTTGATCATAGACTGTGCCACATTAACTCTTTTTGCTACAATTTGTAGACTTATACCAAACTGAAGCATGCCTATAGCCCTACAATGTTCTTTATGTGGCAATGCTGCATTGTTAATCATGTTATTTGGACACCATAGCAGATGTGTTTGATTTACGTTTTTGGAAAGTAATCTATAAACAGCACAGAACGGTTCCAAGTGTAATGATATAAAAATGTCACTTCATATAGTATAAACCCACAAGCCTACTTCCATAATAAATAGTTTACCTTGTCCTGACTTGTCTCCATCATTCTCTGGCAATTGTTGAGGTTTGTTATTTCAATAATGTATTTTTTTAGAGTAAAATTATCATTTATACTTATCCTGACTCATACTAGTTGCTTACCTCAACCCAATACCTTCTAAAGGTATTGGAAAATTCCTGAACTGTGTTCCAGGAGAACAGAAGAAACACTATAACTAAACTGAAACTCTATAATCGTTTAAAGTAAGCGGGAAAATATTTCCTAGCACTCTTTATAAAACCCACAAAATCTATTAGATTTACTTCAATCCTTCCCAAGAAGGAGGTGGTACCCCATAAGGATAGAAGAAGAATTAAGAAGAATATTACGTTCCCATGAGGTTAATTGAACAGATCTCAATCTGAATCTTGCACACAGGTGGAACCCACCACCTTCCGTGGGATTCAAGCAGTCAGGATAAGGTAAAATAGGTAAAAAGGATTTCAGTATGAGCATCATTTAGATTTATCCTGACTCATGCGCTATGGCACCCACCCAGCCATCCCCTCGTTCCCTCTGTTTCGGGTGTTAGGTGAGGGAAATGAGTGATGAGTAGACTGGCTTGGTCATGCGCAGGCCAGGGGTGCGTTCAGGTGAGCTGTTTTTATGTGTTCTCCGGGAACACAGTTTAGGATGTTTCCACTACCTTTTGGAAATGAGTTTTTTACTCTATTAAATACATTATTGAAATTACAAACCTGATCCATTCCCAGAGAATAATGTAGACGAGGTGAGTAGCCACTGATGTAAGTCTAACCCTTTTCAACAAACATGTTCTCTGCAGCCACAGACATGCCCCCAGTGACAGCCTATGACAAGAACAGTGTCAAGACCGTGATTCATTTTGCGACAGACAAGCCTCGGTCGGATGTACTTGTTATGGTCCTCTCAACACTGTCCACCAACACAAGTCCCATCAAGAAGTTTGTTTTCCAGGCAGCTGTGCCAAAAGTAAGCTTAGTCAGATGGGGAAAGCACAAAAGTAATAGTCCTTATGAGGTACATAACTATAGTTAGTACACAACATTCACTGTTACAGTTGATGTTAGTGATGTTATTTCCATGCCTCCAGGTATTGAAGGTGTACAGGTGATGTTATTTCCATGCGTACAGGTGATACAGGTGTACAGGTGATGTTAGTGATGTTATTTCCATGCTTCCAGGGAATGAAGGTGTACAGGTGATGATAGTGATGTTATTTCCATGCGTACAGGTGATAAAGGTGTACAGGTGATGTTAGTGATGTTATTTCCATGTGCACAGGTGATAAAGGTGTACAGGTGATGTTAGTGATGTTATTTCCATGCATACAGGTGGTGAAGGTGTACAGGTGATGTTATTTCCATGCCTCCAGGGGAAGAAGGTGTACAGGTGATGTTAGTGATGTTATTTCCATGTGTACAGGTGATAAAGGTGTACAGGTGATGTTAGTGATGTTATTTCCATGTGCACAGGTGATAAAGGTGTACAGGTGATGTTAGTGATGTTATTTCCATGCATACAGGTGGTGAAGGTGTACAGGTGATGTTATTTCCATGCCTCCAGGGGAAGGTGTACAGGTGATGTTAGTGATGTTATTTCCATGTGTACAGGTGATAAAGGTGTACAGGTGATGTTAGTGATGTTATTTCCATGCCTCCAGGTGATAAAGGTGTACAGGTGATGTTAGTGATGTTATTTCCATGCCTCCAGGGGAAGAAGGTGTACAGGTGATGTTAGTGATGTTAGTGATATGTGTACAGGTGATGAAGGTGTACAGGTGATGTTAGTGATGTTATTTCCATGCATACAGGCGATGAAGGTGTACAGGTGATGTTATTTCCATGCCTCCAGGTATTGAAGGTGTACAGGTGATGTTAGTGATGTTATTTCCATGCCTCCAGGGGATGAAGGTGTACAGGTGATGTTATTTCCATGCCTCCAGGTGATGGAGTTGTACAGGTGATGTTAGTGATGTTATTTCCATGCCTCCAGGTGATGAAGGTGTACAGGTGATGTTAATGATGTTATTTCCATGCCTCCAGGTGATGGAGTTGTACAGGTGATGTTAATGATGTTATTTCCATGCCTCCAGGTGATGGAGTTGTACAGGTGATGTTGTTGATGATTTACTGTTCTCTTGACCCCAGGTGATGAAGGTGAAGCTGCAACCCCCCTCAGCCTCGGACCTCCCAGCATACAACCCCATCCTACCCCCAGCAGCCATAACACAAGTTATGCTCATAGCAAACCCAAAAAGGGTAAGGTTTCTAAAATAACAATCGTCTGATGTAAAGTTGAAATCCATGACTCTCCAAAACATTTGGGAGTTAAGGGCATATCATCCCCCTAGCACCACATGATAGATTAACACCATGCTCGCTGGCTAATTGTGACATCATACCCTGGTGACAATCAGTGATGCTGTTATTGTCAGCCCCCTGTTTTCAGTTTGACTGTCGCTTATGAGATCTCACTGGCCACAGAGGAGGACATAATTGCTTAGCAAGCTTCCCAGTTGCTGTCTGCTATGTTTGAGATCAGTTCATGTTCTTATACATTTACTCGCTATTATCCAAAATGTACAATTGTTTTGTTGAAAATTTATTATCAATTGGTCATGATACTGAAGAATTAGACTAATGCTTCATCTTTGAAAATATATGATTTTGATAGAAACAATCAACTCTACTGAAATTGAAAAGGAGCAACAGTAAGATGGGAGATTCTGTGGAAAATCTAGACTTGCTTAATTTAGGGCCAAAGTATTACAGTAAGGGCTGGGTGGAAGGGAAACTAATATGGTTCAGAGAATGTGAGACGACTTCAGGAATGTCCTATCACAAATTCTAAAAGTGTTCCCAGATGTCCCAATGACAGTGGTCGCTAGGACAATGACTGTGAATGAACTGCAAAATGTGAAATATCTCATATGATAAACTGAAAGCCTGAATGAAATACTGCTTTACTTGCCTTGATGTAGACATTACTGGTGTATAGAATTAGGTGTATTTCAAATACAAATATTTTTCACATTTTGAAAACTAATCTCTAAATGTTAAGGTAACAGTCATGTTTGAGCTTGCATAATACAATGTATGTGATGTTAAACTGTTTGTCTGATATTGTATGTTTTGTATCGTTACACTAGCTACTGCTATGAGGTGATATGTCACGGACTCGGCTATCTGTGAGACTGTAATGTCTTCATGTCTCTCTTCCAGGAAAAGATCCGGTTAAAGTACAAAGTGACGTATATTTTAGATGAGAACAATGTGACGGATACAGGAGATATAGATGCAATTCCCAGTCAGTGAACACCTCCTAGGTTGTTGTTAATCCTGTTATCAAGGCATAGAACAAAGACATGCGAGAAGTGCTGTGGATGTCAGGTATCTATTGGTCCAGGGATGCAAGGAGTCCTGGTGAACAGATACAAGTGGGTAGCTGCTTGAAAGATGTGCTTGTGGAGCTGATCGGTGTGTGTAAAGGAGTGATTGACAAAGAAAACATGAAGACCTGGGGACAGAATTTATGCTCAGCGTACAACTACCCAGAGACTGGACAATGTTCCTACACTGATTCCATTGCCATGATATACATCGGGAGCATCACATCACACAATTAATGAGTATCTCACACAATACTCACCTTTCCTGTTCACACAGCTTGTATGAACACTTTACACAGCAGATGAAAGTCAAACATAAATTAATTACACAGACTCTTCATGTACTCGAATATGAACAGGTTAACGATTATCGGATTATTGACACAACGTACACTTGGGTTTATTTGGTGGACATTCAGCACCAATCTGGTAGTGTGATCAAGCATTGTTTAGAGTAGCAGCCGGAATGTTCAGAGCCTGCCGATTGTCTGGAGCATCCGATACCTGTACGTCTAGGTGCCGGGCTCCACCTGGACTGTTGGTTCTTTGATCACACCAATGTTCGGAGTTCTGTTCCCCACAGACATCGGATGAAGACTGTTCTCCGTGTCCGTGGACATGATGCTGATGCAGTATTGCTAAATATGGCAGAAAACCTTCCTCCGCCATTGTCTAGATAATAGCCAGACCTGAGTTCAGGAAATGAAAGATTTGATGCTATTTATATTTTGGTTATTTCTTCTGAATGGCTATTTCAGCCCTGGGCAAAGCACTCAAGTCTCAAAAGGCATACTGAGATAGTTTGAATCAAGGTTGCATACACAAGACAATACTGTGCTACTGGACTTTGGGCTGGCAAGACAGCGCTTGTGATATTACCCATGTCTAGGCTGCTACCAATGGCGAAGGCAAGGGAACTCTGCTTTGTCACTATGGAAGTGCTAATATGTATATCATGCTGGCATCACTGTGAGACATGAAATCCCCCTTCACTTTTCACCTGTGTGCTTACCACAATCATCGAGTTATATCACAGAGGTGACTATTTTATACCGAAATCTTGAAAACTTGGTCATATACATGTTGCTGTTTCAGAGTGTTGAAGATGGGCATCACGTTATACACATTGTATATATTGGTAAATATTTGTTTTTGATTGAATCTATTTCCAACCGTTGTTCACAATGTGTTATTTGTTACGGTACCTAAGTAGTCAGACTCTGTCAGTTGTAAATACTGGGTGTTGGGGCATGGAAACAGAATATTTCTAACGGTTTGTTAACTCTCACCCCTTAGACATTAATTTCTGAAAGCGAAATGGGAAGACAATTGCAGTTAGCAAGAAAATGTTGTTGTGAAAGGCTGGTACACTGTTGTCAATATATGCAACTTTATTGGCATGTCTTATAATGTTAGGTTTTGCAATTTATTTGTCATTTTCAGTATTTTTCAAAGAACCTGGTGGTCAATGTAACAAACACACATCCCCTCAGAACAGGCTGACTATGGCCTGCCATGTGACTACAGATAGTATCAAGGCGCAGTAACAGGGATGTGAGTGACACTTAAAGCAAGCAATCCCAGTGCAAGAGGGTTCTTCTGTATATTGGCCTTGATGAATACATGTATTTCAATTATTGCCTTTAGAAATGAAGGCTTACTCACTTCATCACACATAACAACTGTACACAAGTACACCTACAATGTGCTTCAATGATGAGTTTGTATCCTTTGGCCTCCACCATCAGCTGCACCAAGATGGTCTTGTGTTATTTACAAGTCATAGCACGAAGATTGCTTTGTGGAACAAGATCCTTGTCATATCTCAGCAGAAATGTTAATAAGAATATCCCACCATTGTATCCCAGTTACTTACCTGAAGATTATGTCCTCCATGTGTAACCAACGGCTTCCTCTCGTTTAGTCCTATCTGCATGTCCCATATTATTATTACATGGCATCATCCACTAGTCATCACTTAGATCTGACAGCAGCATGTATCTCTGTAGCTTTTGCTTTCACTGGCCAGTATGTTTATCATACTCTTGCATTTAGGCATTGTATCATTGTTCCTGAGCTTGTGAATGTGGATTTATTATGAAAACTATGGTACTAAATTATTATGGTTTATAAATCAGATTCTTATCAAGTGCAAATTCTGAAAATGATTATAAACCATGGCATGTACGTCCAAAAAGGTTTACTGTCAAGGGCATTGTGGTCTGGTGGGTTTCCTTTTACAAAGATCAAAATTTCCGAATCAAGATTGGATGGAAATAAAGCTGATTAGTTGATAAAACAGATGACATCTGATTGGCTCAAAAACCCATGGAATAGCTTCACCTTATGGAGAGTTTGTCAGATCTTTACACAGAGAGGTAGCATATCGGAGTGAAAGACTGGACTTAAATGAGACTGACATTATGCATGACCAGTTCTGTTACTGCTGATAACTTGAACATATGGATATAGTTTGTGATCAGAAAATGTTTTAGCTGATATTGTAAAGAGGTCTTTAAAAGTAATAATCTTTGAGTGATAGTTTTGGGCTAGTTGGCACATGTAGGTTCGAGAACAAGCAATCAACTCATTGGTTAATACTTGGGAAGATGCAGAGGTCCACAAGGTCAGTGGGCGTTGCCCCTTCTCCATGTGTACTAGATTCACCCGATTCAGGTCGTTGGTCTGTCCTCTTCCTACCCATTCTTGTAGGTTTCACCACAGCAGTAGATGTCACTTAGCTGTTGGGCCTTCCTCCCAACAAGCCATATCATACTTATATGACAATGGTAAACCAAACACACAAATGTTTGCTCAAATTAAAAGTTTTAGTCTTCTAGCATTTCTAAGTACATGCACGCATAACATTAGGTTGACTTGTGTGTTTGGGGTTTCTTTGTACCTTATATATCTTCATGCTCAGATTGTATCAGTTGATGGGCAGTCTAGAACTGGGGAGGGAGGGAGGGAGCATGTTTTATAATTCTGTCATTTACAATGGTTTGTTTGTTGTTTAACGCTTCACTCAGCAATATTCCAGCTATATGACGGCTGTGTAAATAATCAAGTCTGGACCAGACAATCCCGTGATTGACATCATGAGCATAGATCCATACAATTGGGATACGATGACCTGCATCAACTAGGTCGGTTAGCTTGACAACCTGATCCTGTTAGTCACCTCTTACGACAAGCATAGTCACCTTTTACAGTAAGCATGGGTTGCTGAAGATTTATTCTACCCCGGATCTTCATGGGTACATGAACAATGAAATACACATGGCAGCCCATCAGGATTGGGTACAAGCAATGATTTCATGGGAGATTATCAAGAGTGAATCTCCTTACTAGCTGTTCCACAGTGAATAATAACACATTGTAATTCATAGTGCTACTGTAATCATTCCAAATAAATGGAAAGGTTAAAGCTAATATATATGTCAACTGAGTTTTTATTTAGTATGAAAGGTTAATTATGATATGCATCAAAAGGCTTCATGACTGTGATGTAGGGCACTGACGGGTACTTGAGACAGGTTTGGACAGACTGGAGTCCCGTGTCAAAGTCTGGAGTACCTGATAAGGGGGGACAACTTACATCTTCACTTCTCGAACATGTGTTGCAGATATGGAAGAGAAACAAAACAGTGTCTGGACACATTTCGACTTAAATGATGCTGAGTAAAAAATACATTGTCCATTGCGTGACATATGAGTGTTGAAATTGGGTTCTGGAATCCAGGTAGGAATTGGAAACACAGTCCATTTTGTTGTACCTGTCAGAGCTCTACTGTGATGCAGACCATTGTTTACACTGTTAGTTTGTGCTATGTGTTGTGCTCCATAGAACTGTTCTACCTGATGCCCTGTGGTTGTAGATATTCCATGTACAGTCTAGATCTACCTCTAGTCCTTAACACCAGGGCACTCCGTGCTAGACTTACCAGGCTGTGCATGACACACCCTCATACTTAGAACAAGAAAACATACTTTGGTAAACAGAAATTATGAAGAACAGGAAGACTCTATAGCTGTGCTATTGTTATCCAAGTATGTTTTACAGTTTTTTGTGTAGAAGGAATTTCTTTCACGTTCTATTTCCTGCTATTTTATCGTAAAAGCAATTGTTTTGCTTACTGCTCAAATGAAATATGTAAATATTTTTAGGCCTGATTTTTATGGACACAATTTGATGGCAGAACCTTTGAAACACAGCGTTGTGTTCTTGACTCACATTCGAGTATGCTGAACTACATAAACGTGATACTTTAGGACGCGACTCTGTTTCACTTGAATGGAATGATACAGAGGGCACAACGTAATCCACTGTGCCACAGCCACTTCTATGTCCATGTTAACGCTATATATGACGTGTCAATTAACCCTCTCCTAGCCACCTGTCTGTCAATTGCTGGTAATGTTTGTGTGGGAAAATGCAATGTATATGGTGTACATACAGGTTACATTTGTATAAATGTGCATACAATGAAAATAAATTATCATACAAGTTTCAACTCTTTGTCATTAAGTTCAACCTGCCAAGCTAGCTACACATTCATTGTTTTGGGGGGCGGTGGTGTCATCTAGTGGTTAAAGCATTCACTCGTCACGCCGGAGACCCGGGTTCGATTCCCCCACATGGGTACAATGTGTGAAGCCCATTTCTGGTGTCCCAGAAGGTATCAAGATATAGGGTGTTTGATATTGACATTTTGCAGAATGTTTAACTTCCCAAGTGTCTGACTCAAACTCACTGACTTTTTGTCAGTAGAATTTAGTCTTTACTTGGACTTTTATTAGCTAAGCTAACAAGGCTGAAGTAAATCTTACTGGACCCAGGTGTTGGGTAGTCCCTATTTGACTGTGTCCAAGATTTTACTTTTACATGTTGTAGTTTGCTACACAAACAACAGGAAACAATTTTCGAAAAAAATGTTATAGCAAAATAAATATATTGCACTTTGTACAGTCACATAAAGTGTTATACATCAATGTGAGTGAGGCTAGTTATTAGGAAATTACTTTGAATAACTTAACACCTGGTTCATCTGGCCCAGGCTGCATTGAAAGATTGCTGACACAGCTCCTAAATCCTAATATAAGTAATACTCACTCATTTGTCAAAGAGAGCAAATTAATTTGCAGACATGAAACTGTGTCTAACATGGTTGAAGAGGTTAATGTAAACAGGCCATAGTGTACTGTGTATCACTTGGAGTCGGGACTCAGCAGTCTGTACGTGCCCCTCAAGATGATGGGAAGAGCAGTGTTGTCACGATGCCACCTGTAACCAGGACAACCATGGGTAAGTCGGTCATATACAGATCTGATTTACCCCTCTGGTAAATACTACTGTAACCAGGACAACCATGTGTAAGTCAGTCATAAACAGATCTGATTTACCCCTCTGGTAAATACTACTGTAACCAGGACAACCATGGGTAAGTCAGTCATATACACGACCTGATTTACCCCTCTGGTAAATACTACTGTAACCAGGACAACCATGGGTAAGTCAGTCATATACAGATTTGATTTACCCCTCTGGTAAATACTACTGTAACCAGGACAACCATGGGTAAGTCGGTCATATACACGACCTGATTTACCCCTCTGGTAAATACTACTGTAACCAGGACAACCATGTGTAAGTCAGTCATAAACAGATCTGATTTACCCCTCTGGTAAATACTACTGTAACCAGGACAACCATGGGTAAGTCGGTCATATACACGACCTGATTTACCCCTCTGGTAAATACTACTGTAACCAGGACAACCATGGGTAAGTCGGTCACACACAGGATCTGATTTACCCCTCTGGTAAATACTACTGTAACCAGGACAACATGGGTAAGTCGGTCACACACAGGATCTGATTTACCCCTCTGGTTAATACTCCTGTAACCAGGACAACCATGGGTAAGTCGGTCACACACACGACCTGATTTACCCCTCTGGTAAATACTACTGTAACCAGGTGGGAACAGGTCAAGGGTAACTACCCTGTGGCTATGACTGCTTGCTTTTAGTTCTGGTTCTGATCGGGGTCACGGATGTCGCAGTAGCTACTCAACCCAGCTGAGATTTCAATGCACCGCATTTCACAAACCCTGGCTTTAAGGTTCAGCCACCATAACGCAGCCTATAGTTTATCATGACAGATATTTGTGTAAGAAACCACTCACCTGCCACAGTCAATGTCGGCTGCAGGATTAAGAACCACTGATGCAAAACTGGAAGTTACAAAATTTATACATTCATTGAGACATCAGTAGTAATCAGTGCTAGTATTACCAAGTCACAACACATACCCTACCTCCAGTCTTGTCGCCAGTGCTTTGTTTTGCTTCAGCCATAGATGTTCTGACCGATACACATACCCCTTTCACTTACAAGACAACAATGCCCCTACCCCTATGCTTTTCTTATGTTGCCACACTGAGATTATTTACATGAATGTTTCGTGCAATTCCTAATGTAAATATCAAGATAGTGTATCAACATTTCTGCATGGGGTTTGAACTCCACTGACATTAATGCCCGGGCACTGGGGCTATGAAATGGAATAAGAATGTGGCAAAATGATGATTTACTTTGAAAAATATATATATATATCTCAATATGTCCATGTCAGTTATTCCTGTCAGCAGTACAAACACTGACGGTCTGAGAGTGTCATTTGTCCAGAAAGTACATTGTTACCATCTGCACTCACTTTGGCAGTTTCAGCAAGTTGATTAGTTCATGGGCACGGCTCACAAGTGCCTCACCGCCCTCGGGGTCCACTGCGTTGTTGTAGTGTTGCTTAGCAACCTTGGTTAGACACAAGATGGCACGTGGAATCAGGTCCTGACACCTGGTGGAGAGCTGCAGACAAGACCGAGACATCTCGTCACAACCAACATCTGCACACTGCCATGGCAGTGATATGAACATGATCTGGTGTATTTCTCAGTACTCGGGTGAATAGAGAACAAGAGACACTGAGAGGTTCTCACTTCTTATAACCATACCTGGAAAGTATCGGAGGTACTTCTACTTACCATGCTTCAACAATAGTGATTACTGGCTGAACAAATATCATGTTTTTAATCATATTCAACATTTCAACGGAAAATTTCAACTAGAATTATTAAGTTAATAATTTTAAATTGTTCAGAGAATGTAGTCCTGGTAATATGATTACAATAACAACCGGCTATCATGGCTGTATCTCACTGTCTAAGCAAGAGGTCATTCTGCTAAGATGGCCTTGTGGAACACCAAAACTGAACTCACCTTGGCTATGGCAGAGATGAGGACTGACACGATCTTGGGGCTGACCTCCGACCTATGTTCTGCCGACAACAGCAGCCCTGACACCTCGTAGGTCATTGCCTCAAGAGTTTCATAATACTTGGCGATGAGGTCGGCTGTACAGCTGGGGTCATGGTGAAGAGAGCAGAGCTCACCTACACACCACACCTACAACAAAGCCACAGCTTACAGTAATGTGTGAAGAACAAACAGTTTTGTGTTCTTGAGAAAAAAACAACACAGAGCAGGTCTGTCAACCATGTTATCCAAGGTGACATTTTCAGTGTCTGATGTTGCATGAAGCATGTTAAGTCCAAAACTTTGTGTCATTGTGAGGTGCTATTTACTTTGATATCATTGTGAATTACCATACACTGTATTACGATTGTGAGGTGCTATATACTTTTAATTTGATTGTGAGGTGCTATACTCTTTAGTATGATTGTGAGGTGTCAAATGTGTAATCTAAGAGTCGAACTCACCAGGTTGGAGAAGATGGCCTCCCTGTCGGTGAAGTTGCGAGTGCCCATGAGGAAGGTGGAGATCTCCAGATACTGACTGTTCACGATGCTTGGGTACTTCCGTAGCAGGGCGACCAGGTTCTCGGACAGAAGTCTGTCAATCAGTGGCGTTTAAGATAAGTCAGTTCTGACCCTGTGGCCATTCAACACAACCCATTGCAACTCATTATTTAGTATTATGCATAATACCCCTATTCATTCACTTTACTTCTAGAGTTCTCAATCTGAGATACATTCTTAGTCCAATAATATGACCATCACCACATGGCGACAAGACACAGTAAGAGGACAGGTCAGACTACACTTTCCTTGAACACTCAGGGATGTGAAATCTCGGAAAAATCTCGTTTTTTAAAAAGTAGTCCTTGGAAAAAATCATCTTCCGCATAAAAATATAATCAAAGTTTTAAAAAATACACTCCGAAAAATATGATCAAAAAGCGAAAAAACGTCTCAAATTGTCCTGTTTTCGATCTGAGCTTTCAGCAGCAGGCTTTCTGACATCATACGGTTTTTTTTATCACGAATACTAGCACTATAACGTTGGGTGTGGTGCCACACAGAAATTGTAAATACTCAGAGTCACATGATGGCTTGTTTATAAGATAAAGTTGTCTTTTAGCATTGTTTAGCCTATAAGTGAGAGATGTTTTACAGTTGTTAATGTGATTAGGGAGAAAACTATGAATGTTTCTTCAGCGTCCAAAAACCCATAACATGGGGATATATGTTGTATTAATGTCTTATGTTTGCAATGGAGTTTTGTTTTTTTCAACAAAAGGTAAGTAAGTACAGGGTAAGTTTTTTGTCAATATGCTTCAACATGGGGAACGGGTCAGACATTTCCCGCTTGTGACAGTTGTCCTTGTGTCTGGGGGATGGGGGTTGAAGTTTATGGCAGTATTGCTCCCAGACCTGGAGGGTAGCCAGGTGCGCGGAAGCTATCCCCGATTGTTTAAAAGTACTGATTTAACTTCGAAATTTTACTGCATCTGCCATCTTTGTTTGTTTGACTTAATGACTTTTGCCATTGACTTATTACATTTCTTGGTGTGAATGTAACCAGACCTCCCTAGACTTTTCCTCTTTCTTCAGGAAAACCCGCTCCGCTCACATCCCTGAACACTGTATTTTGTAGCAGTACAGTAGGAACAGTAAATAGAACCAAGATAACACGGAACCAAGAACCTCTGTGTACTAATCACTGTCATCTGACACACCTTCTGATGTCGTTCTGGAATTCGGGGATAGTGTAGAGCAGCGATGACCTCTCCAGCATGACAGGAAGCAGCTGGCCTGCGAACTCCGCGCCCACTTCCTCCAGCACCACGGAGAACCACACCCTGGACAACATGAGTCATGGAACAAGTTAACTACGATGGGTCTTTACTCATAAAAACAGATGTTCCCCCCCCCTCCTTGTCTTTTATACATTAGTTCAAGTTGTTACTATAAATGTGTTTGCAAATAAAACAAAAAACAACAGCAAACAAAAAACAGAACAGATAATGATAATCGAAGCTAGCAGCATTACAGCTGATGCCATGCTGACTCTTTATGGCAGATAAGACAATTCAACTTGTAACAGCAGTTTGGATAATAGACTGTATTGTGCAAGTACATGTACCAATAATGAACAATATGTAGTGTTATGCTTAGTAGAATTAGTCTTAAGAATTTCCAAATTGTTTCCATGAAAACTAAAGATATAAAAAAAAATAAAAAATTGAAAAATATGAAAAGGCAATAGTTGAGCATTTGGTCATTGCACCTTCTAGTTTCATGCAAAAATATTCATTAGTTTGAGAATTATGGGTCGGTAACGAAGCCTAGAGTTGTTTGAGATTTCAATGGAAAACGTAACAAAAAGATTTAGAAAAAATTAAAAATAGCAAAAGGCAGCAGTTAAGCTAATGAGCAATGCACATGCCATGCTTTGTTGAAAAACATTGAACAGTTATCAAGTTATGGCTTGGAATAGGACGGGAATGCCGATGCCACTGGGAACCGAGCTAAAAACAACATGTCTCCCCTCCCTTTGAAGAAGGGTATGTGTAGGACATGGAGGGGGGGGGGGGGGGGGGGGGGAGAGAAGAGAATCAATGACCGTGTCAAGTCCCATAGCTTGGACTCAAGTTGAAAGTCAGGAGCTACCTGAGGTTTTACTTCTCTCAAGTATGACCTGCTTTGAGGTTTTACTTCTCTCAAGTATGACCTGCTTTGAGGTTTTACTTATTTCAAGTAAGACCTGCTTTGAGGTTTTACTTATTTCAAGTATGACCTGCTTTGAGGTTTTACTTATTTCAAGTATGACCTGCTTTGAGGTTTTACTTATTTCAAGTATGACCTGCTTTGAAGTATTACAATATCAAGTAAGACCTGTTTTGAGGTTTTACTTCTCTCAAGTAAGACCTAAGGTTTTACTTGGAATCATACGTAAGACCAGCTTTGATGTTTTACTTTTGAACTGTATGAATTAATTCACATCTAATGTCAACCTGCAACCACATATAACATATTCAGTGTTGTAACCCACTGTTTTCCCACCGAGCCACCTGGGATGGTGATGAATCAACGGTTCACTCAGCACATGGTTTGTGACAGCGTGCATCATCCACTGGTTGGTGACATCGTGCATCATCCAATGCCATTGCTGCACATGATGGATATTAATGAGCGTTAGACAAGCCCATATTTATACAGTAGTATAGGTATCGAATAAATACAACATATCGGATTAATGTGTGTTTCAATCTAAGAAGATGTAGGCTCTCTGCCTTACTTATTTTACCTACGGATCATCTTTCTCAACTGACGATAAAAGTCCAGTTTCCACCCTTGCCGAACTAGGCAGGAATTAAGGAGTTATGTCTTGGCTGGACTAATGAGCCTATGCATAGTCCAATCAAAATGGCGTAACGTGATCGACACCCGGTTCGTCAAATGCTGTGGATCTATTGGCCGATTAAAGCATGTGCACCATCTACTCAGTGTCAACAGATATTTTCCTAAATTTTTCATGTTTCTTATCAAGATGCTCGCGTGATTTGATGCACTTCGTGAAGTAAGACATGTCTTTTAACAATATAGATCTTGATTATCGATCTGATCATCTTGACTGGGCGCCTCCATCTTGTTTGAAGCAAATGCAAGAGATATGTGAGATGGAATCTGCTTGGTCAATAGGAGGGACATAGACATGTAGTCACCTCATACAGCAAGCATTGGTTGCTGGGGGCCTATTTGAACCTGGAATCCCCATGAGGTAGCCTTGATGAGTCACAACTCTGGGTGCAGATCATCTGCCCTCTAGAACAAGTAACATTACCTGACCAGCACTGGCACTGCCTGGGAACACACCACGACCCTGGGGTAGGACTTCATGTCGGACAGGATGTTGTGTAGAGATGACAATCTGGGGAACACACAAAGCAGGGATGAATTGTGTTCCTTACAAAACTGTCACAAAAGTGACTCCAATATTGAAAACCGGAGATGACAAACTTACAGTTATAAAATATTGGTTACATAAATCTTACAGTCAAAAATGTAAATAAAATAGTAGTTTACGGTTTGCAAGCTACAGGAAGTGTTCCTACTTGTCGATGGTGTCTCCGTGGCCGCCATCGTAGCGGGTGACAAAGCTGAACAGAGGCCTGTAGAACGAGTGCTGGAAGGCCTCCACAGAGTTGGATGGTTCTGAGTCCCCAGTTGGCCCCTGGCCCAGGTGCTCAATCTTCTTGGCTTTCTCGATGACCTCTAAAGCTGCCGTGAGGCATGGAAGGTCAAGGACTGTGTGGAACACCTATGAAGGAGAGCAACATGTCAAAACTGCTAGCACTTCTACATTAACTGTGGGTCATGCTAGCACTTCTACATTAACTGTGGGCCATGCTAGCACTTCTACATCAACTGTGGGTCATGCTAGCACTTCTGCATCAACTGTGGGCCATGCTAGCACTTCTACATCAACTGTGGGTCATGCTAGCACTTCTACATCAACTGTGGGCCATGCTAGCACTTCTACATCAACTGTGGGCAATGCTAGCACTTCTACATCAACTGTGGGTCATGCTAGCACTTCTACATCAACTGTGGGCCATGCTAGCACTTCTACATCAACTGTGGGCCATGCTAGCACTTCTACATCAACTGTGGGCAATGCTAGCACTTCTACATCAACTGTGGGTCATGCTAGCACTTCTACATCAACTGTGGGCCATGCTAGCACTTCTACATCAACTGTGGGTCATGCTAGCCCTTCTACATCAACTGTGGGTCATGCTAGCACTTCTACATCAACTGTGGGTCATGCTAGCACTTCTACATCAACTGTGGGCCATGCTAGCACTTCTACATCAACTGTGGGCCACTACATCAACTGTGGGTCATGCTAGCACTTCTGCATCAACTGTGGGCCATGCTAGCACTTCTACATCAACTGTGGGTCATGCTAGCACTTCTACATCAACTGTGGGCCACTACGTCAACTGTGGGTCATGCTAGCACTTCTACATCAACTGTGGGTCATGCTAGCACTTCTGCATCAACTGTGGGTCATGCTAGCACTTCTACATCAACTGTGGGCCACTACATCAACTGTGGGTCATGCTAGCACTTCTACATCAACTGTGGGTCATGCTAGCACTTCTACATCAACTGTGGGCCATGCTAGCACTTCTACATCAACTGTGGGCAATGCTAGCACTTCTACATCAACTGTGGGTCATGCTAGCACTTCTACATCAACTGTGGGCCATGCTAGCACTTCTACATCAACTGTGGGCCACTACATCAACTGTGGGTCATGCTAGCACTTCTGCATCAACTGTGGGCCATGCTAGCACTTCTACATCAACTGTGGGTCATGCTAGCACTTCTACATCAACTGTGGGTCATGCTAGCACTTCTACATCAACTGTGGGCCATGCTAGCACTTCTACATCAACTGTGGGCAATGCTAGCACTTCTACATCAACTGTGGGTCATGCTAGCACTTCTATATCAACTGTGGGCCACTACATCAACTGTGGGTCATGCTAGCACTTCTACATCAACTGTGGGCCATGCTAGCACTTCTACATCAACTGTGGGCCACTACATCAACTGTGGGTCATGCTAGCACTTCTGCATCAACTGTGGGTCATGCTAGCACTTCTGCATCAACTGTGGGCCATGCTAGCACTTCTATATCAACTGTGGGCCGTGCTAGCACTTCTATATCAACTGTGGGCCGTGCTAGCACGTCTATATCAACTGTGGGCCATGCTAGCACTTCTACATCAACTGTGGGCCATTCTAGCGACCCCAGTACAGCAATATAAAAAACAACATCAGCACATGTTGCTCTTCAGTGCTCTTTAGAACAGTTTTGGGAACAACTTGGTTTGCAGTTCTGTGAGTTGTAATATGTGTTATGTCATTTAAGGGGAAATGTTCTTACTGTGTAGCCTAATCCCAAATCCCAACACTGCAAATCAAAATGACTTTACTTTGCTATCCTTTGCTTGCATTTCCAGGGTAAACTAAAGAGTTGTTCTTATGATGGAAATACATGTATGAACAAATGCTTTTAGAGAAAGCAGTCCTGTAAAGGTCGGGGTTCACAATCAGCCAATTAAATGCATGGAATAACTGAAAAGTTCCAAAACTCAGAAATAAGTGAAACAACATGTTTAACCCCTGGGTTAATAATAACTTATATGCCATAACGGAATGGAGCATATTGCATATCAGTCAAGTCAGACTCACCTCCATGGCTGTGGTGGGAGACATGAGGGCAGGCAGGATCTCTGTAAACTCATCCACAAACGTCCTGGGATGCCAGGCCAGAATCTGTCCACACAGAATCAGACACATCAATATGCAGCTTTCTGGACAGGCCAAAGTTAGTTTCCACAAGCACAGAGTTGGAAATATAGTTGACCTTGAGCTTTGATCACATTTTGTACAACAGTATGCTAAATGTGAAGTCACACTTCTTAATAAGGTACAGTTAGAAAGAGAACTTTGATGAATAGGCAAACAGGACTAACCAACAAAGACAAAGACAAAATCAGAACAAGGATGGGAATAGGAATGGACCAATGTTTTCACTGTAAAGAACATGCGCGATGTCAGCACTGGGCCTACCTTTAGGATGTTGGGGAAGAAAGACGACAGGACCTTGGTCCTGTGACACAGGGTCTCCAGATTCCGCAGAATAAACCTGACTGTGTCGAATGCTACTCCCGGATCATGGAAGTTGCGGCCCAACACATTTCGGAAGTAGTGCAGGTATGTATCTCCAGGGTCATGGACGACAGCGCTACCTGTACAAGATGACGCACTTAGTTCTCCTGGCCCAAGAACATACAACACTTTACCACTGTTCATGCAAGGATCAAACATTATGATCCTCACACATTTCTCATCCTTGATCCTTGCAGTTCTGCTATTTCTATTTAACTACCAACCACGGTATATTCTGATCCCAAGGACCACAGAGGCCATCTGAGTTTATCTGCCAGATCCTAGGTGTCATGAACATCATAAGAAGCTTGTCCTATAAACCGGTTGTATTTAACAGAAACATTGTGCAACTGCCAGTTACACAATCATCATTTTGTTGTAATTATTGAACGAAGGTGTTTGCCCAAACCCATCAAAACATAATGTAATTAAATACTTTTCTAATCATATTCTCCATCTCCAAGCCTGAATGGCAGGTTGGTATAGGCAAACGTTGTCTAGGTAATTTGGGCCTAATTCATCATGGAGTATTCATCTACACTGTTCCACACATAAAAAAGAAAACTTACTGTGGTTGACAAAGAACTGCAATATCTGCAGTACAATGGGTGCGTACTGGGCTTCGGAGGACACTCGAGCATACAGCCGCTTCACTTCCTGGTGCACACGGGGAACATGACCTTCATCCAGCTCACAGATCAGGTCAAGGACAGTCACTGCCTCAACCAAGCACTGGAGGATAACACACAATTGGAACATGCAACAGTTTCAGCAGCCTGATTATCCAGGTATCATATCTCCATTATGATAAATACCCTGGACGAATTCTCCACCAGAATGTTTTTTGTCCACGTAGAATGACATAACAAACATCAAACCCATCAAAAGACCGAAAAAACACTGTCCCATCAATTTACACTTTAATTTCATGATTGAAATAAGAAGTGATGTCACCAGCACTGGCATTGCAGGACATATCTAATACAACACACAATGCCTGATAGCCTAGGGACTAGGCTCGTCTGTCTAAAAACTCAGTAAAATTACTTTTCCTTGAACAAATTCATTAATGACAGCCACATATAGATCCCTGTCGACTTCTTGTTAAGAAGAAACTAGGGAGTCATTTTGATTGCTTGTTGCATTCATGCTCCTGAGCAAGAGACAGGGATAGTGCAAAGAAATGTATCAACCACTCAGTTACCCCATCAGAAACTGTCATACTTACAGCAATCTGCAGTTCCGCATCAGTGTTCACCTTTGGCTCTGTAACATATATATACTGTGCATGTGTAGTGACTTTTAAAGATGGTTAAAAACTGACACAGGCATCAACACACATTATCTTTTATTGAGCAAGAAACTTGAACATGTTGAACTCCTAAAATCTAACCATCTGATCAGCTGGCTAGTCACTGTTGTAGAAGGTACAAGTCAGCTTGATGGTCTGTGCGGACATGAAGTCCTGTCTGCCCCCGTCCACACTGTGAGTCCCACAACCAGAGAAGGGTGCAGGACTATATCATTTGTAAATACAGTAAACTACAGTTATAACAAACTCAAAGGGACCACTAATTTTAATTCGTAATAACCGTAGTTCGTTATAGGCATATATACAGCATTTATACAACAAATAGTTGGGACTAAAATATAAGTTCGGTCAGTTCGTTATAAGCATGTTCGTTATAAAGGTACTTTACTGTATACCATCAAAGAAAATACTCCAATAAACACAAGTTTCTATGAACTTGCTGTGGGATTTTACCACTACCGGTGACCACTTATGTACATGCCTAAGCCTTCAGTCTTGCAGTGGGAAGTTCCTGTCCAAAGACCACTGACATATGTAACTCATAAACCACATGCTAGATACAGCTAGGCTTACGAGGGGTGTTCATTAAAGATTTCCCCTAAACCACTTAGGGTTATCATATTTGGTTGAAATTTCACATGTGTAATGATACATGTATCTATGGGTTATGTCTGAATTTGCAGCACCGAACTATTAATCTTAACACTTTTACAGGTGTTATGATCGAGTAGGGTGTGACAATGGAGCCAGTAGAATACCGAGCAGTGATTAGGTTTTTATATTTGAAAGGTCGCACACCAAAAGAAACTTTCGATGAAATGAAAGCAACTTATGGGGAAGATGCCCCATCATATGACGTTGTTAAACACTGGCATCGCCAGTTCAAGTGTGGTCGGACATCTGTGGAAACAGCTGCCATTCCTGGTCGCCCCCATTCAGCCATTGATGAGGACACTATCCATCAAGTGGAGACCGCCATTTTGGCAGACCGACGTATAACTGTTTGCCAGTTAGCACAAGATGTCAAGATCAGTGTAGGGTCTGAGGAAAAAATCATCCATGACAATTTGAACATGCATAAGGTGTCTGAACGATGGATTCCCAGGTTGCTCACACCTTTCCAAAAGCAGGAATGAGTCAATTGCTCAAAGGATCTTTTGGACATGTGCCAAAAAAAACAGGCAAACTTTTTTGACAGACTTATCACACAGGATGAAACATGGGTCCATCACTATGATCCAGAGACTAAAGTTCAGTCGATGCAATGGAAGCATGTGGAGTCACCACCCCCAAAGAAGGCACGTGTCCAACCCTCTGCAGGCAAGGTCATGCTCACAGTGTTTTGGGACCAGCACGGAGTAGTGATGATGGATTTCTTGGCAAAGGGTACCACAATTACAGGAGCTTGCTAAGCTTCACTGCTGCGGAAATTGCGGGATGCTATCAAGCTTAAGAGGCGTGGCATGCTGACCAAGGGTGTCTGTCTCCTGCAAGACAATGCTCCAGTACACAACTCTCATGTTGCCCAGACAGAAGCGCGGTCCTGTGGCTATGAAATCCTTCCACATTCTCCTTACTCTCCTGACCTTGCACCATCTGACTTCCACCTTTTTCCAACCATGAAGTCATTTTTGAAGGGAAAACATTTCACAGATGATGAAACACTGATTTCTGAAGTCAAGTCCTGGTTTGAGACGCAAAATGAGGGCTTTTACAAGCAAGACCCAATAATTGCATAAAACGATGGGAGAAGTGGGTCACTCTTGGTGGTTACTATGTGGAGGAAGACTAATACCTATGCCAAGTTTCATTCCACTAGCTCCATCGGAAGTGGGTCAGGGGAAATCTTTAATGAACACCCCTCGTACATCAGAAAATAGGGGATCATTCAAACTCTTCTCACAACTTGCCACTGAATAAATGAAAGCCTCATCAACAGCAGATCTTTGACTCCAATACGATTCCTCTCAGCGTGGACTAGCATAGGAGGTCATGTCAGGTGGACTTTCCGATCAGCCAATCAGTGCCGAGGATACTACATTCTCGGGTATGAGCGTGTGAAGCATTCTGATGTCTGACAATAACACCACTTTTCTTCCTTGGTCATAACAAAGGCTGTGCCATTATACTGTTATATATATTGTATACACCCTGCTCTCATTGAGGTCCATGGCATGTATCCATGGTAACTAAAAGTGAGTACCATCAAAGGCATAATTGTGTCCTGAGTGGGTTTTCTGTGTTAATTAGAAGTTTCCAAATTGTAAACATTTTAGAAATCTGGCATCTGCTTGTCTTAAGAAGCCATGGATCCTTCATTTAAAGTGAACAGTCAAAGGTTACTCAGGGTTCAACTGACACGACCTTCTTTGGACATGATGGAGGTGTCCCCAGATCTTAAGACAGACAGATTTGTATTATTGGAGTAAAACATTTGATTTTAATGAGATCTGACAACCATCCATAAGCACCAAAGGAAGAGAAAATCCTACTTACTTCTTTCACACTGGTCCAGCACACGGAAACAGTAGTCCACAGTGCGGGAGGACAGAGACCCGAACACCTTGGCTTGTCTCCCCTTTTCTAGTGAGTCAGGAGTTCCACTTCTCATTGACATATGCTGACCACTCCCTCTTCGAGAAAAGTCACCATTCATTGATGAAATTTGAAAACTCCCTCTTCGAGGGGATTCGGCAATCATTGAGGAAACCTGAGCACTAGCTCTGCGAGGGGATTCGGCATACATTGATAAAAACTGATCAGTTGAGTCAAGAGAACCAACAGGTGTTGCTGCTTGCTTTGGGGATTCAAGAGAGGCAAATGACTGTGGAGTTCCATCTCCCCGTGGAGAGCCCAGGGGAGAATCAGTCGACACCAAAGACACCGGAGTCTCGCGGTCCTTGCTGAGGTCGGCATCTGTGTCCTCACCGTCTTCGCGGTTGACATTGTTGTGATGAAGCCAGCGGTACAGCAGGGAGAATGTGTAGATGTTCAGGAACTGGTCGTCTGTGAAGTACTGCCCTGAACAAGTCAATGTTATTGTTAGAAAACATCACAGATCATGACATACATTATGATGCCACGATGATAAAGTCTAGGGACGACCCTTAGGCATGCAGATCGGTCTAGATATCCTTCAAACCAACACTGTATATACATATTTACATTCAGAAAGCTTGCATCTAATCCATCAATATTGAAATATTCCTCAAACAGGTTTAATGCGTTGACAAACTTAAATATGACAGTGTAGATATGATGGATTGAAAACAAATGCTTAAAAAAGTTTAGGCTTAAAAAATTAATAGAATGGGTTCTCAGACTTTTCAAAATATAACAGGTATGTGAAATATCCGCGGAAACGCGGAAAATCACGTTTTTTAAAACAGTAGTCCTCGGAAAAAATCATCTTCCGCGTAAAAATATAATCAAAGATTTAAAAAAAATACTCCGAACAATATGATCGAAAACCGGACAACGGTCGCGGATTGTCCTGTTTTCGATCAGAGCTTTCGGCAGCATAGGTTTTCGGACATCATACGTTTTCTATCACGAATACTTGAACTATAATGTGGCTTGTGGCGTCACACAGAAATTGTAAATACTCAGAGTCAGATGATGGCTTGTTTTTAAGATAAAGTCGTCTTTTAGCCTGTAAGTGAATGAGATGTTTTACAGTTGTTAGCGAGAAAACTATGAATGTTTCTTCAGCGTCCAAAAACCCATAACATGGGGATATATGTTGTATTAATGTCTTATGTTTGCAATGGAGTTTGGGTTTTTTTCAACAAAAGGTAAGTAAGTACAAGGTAAGTTTTTTCAATATGCTTCAACTTGGGGAAAGGGTCAGACATTTGCACACTTGTGACAGTTGTCCTTGTGTCTGGGGGATGGGGGTTGAAGTTTATGGCAGTATTGCTCCAAGACCTGGCAGGTAGCCAGGTGCGCGGAAGCTATGCCCGATTTTTTAAAAGTACTGATTTAACTTGGAAATCTTACTGCATCTGCCATCTTGTTTATTTGACTTATTGACTTTTGCTATTGACTTTTCTTGGTGTGAATGTTGTCCAAACTGCACGAAATTGCTTAAAATGCAATCAAATTTCTGGGGGGGGGGGGGCATGCCCCCAGACCCCCCTACACTTTTCCTCTTTTTTAAAAAAAACCTGCTTACATCCCTGATATTGAGGGCGATGGGTTTTTTTTTGCTTGTTCAAAACAGTTGTTTACCATCAACCTGGGAAAGGGCCTCAATACATTAACAAGCATACAAACTCCTATTGCCACCATGACCATAACTTGAGATGCACAGTAAAGGGAAGTAACTGCATGCTACATTGGATCACAATGTTTAAAGTATAAGGACTTTTAAAATTTTTAAAAATAAATAAAATAAAAACGAAACGTGCGGCAGCTTTATGATGATGTGGGCAGTGTCTGAGAACCAAGACTATTATTTTTTTTAGCCTAACTCAACTTTTGCAAAAGTATAATTTCAATATGTACATGTACACACAATCACTGAAAAAGTTGAAAGTCTGAAAATTTAAACATGACTGTAATACTGAAATCAAAGGCATGACCCCACTGCAAGTGGTCAAATGCCACAGTCATCAATATTTCAGCCATATCATGCAGGCCTGTAGGTAATCTGGACCAGACAAACCAGGGACTATGCCTGGAGGCCACAGCGATATGCAATAAGTCAATACACTGCAGACGTAAAATTAGTCCCCTTAATCCCAAGGGGTCCTGCCCATGGCTATCTGTGTGTGGTACGGGGGTATGACAGGCGAGGCTTTCATGCATCCTAGTCCTACCTATGTTCAGAACTGTAAAGAAATTGCGACTTGGAGTGCCGTCCACCTCGGTGACGAGGTTTGCCTCATCTTTACGGAAAGGGTTCTTGGTGTAGGGGTTGGCAGCCTGATAGCGGGAAGCTGACAGCAGCCACTTCGACAGCTGCTCACTTGTCTTCAGAACAATCTCTGTAACCAAAGTTACCGCTTGCTTCTTTATTAGTGATCAGCTACATTGCAACATGCTAAAGATCAAAGAATTAAATCTGTAGCTTGGGTATGTTGACATGTGGCACATTTATTTAAAACTTACAGTTACATTCTCAAATACTCATTTAATGACATCAGAGATGTTGAATGGGAAATAAATTAACATTAAGTCTGTCATTGTTTGTTATCTATTTCAACAATCAAAACTAGATGTGAGAAGTTAGTGAAATGAACTGACTGTCTGATGCGAGCTTGGTATGCAGCATTGACAGGGAGACAAGGAAGGTGAAGGCCTTTCTCTGAGTGTCAAGGTCAACCCCTCTGGTACTCAACCATCTGGAATTCATACAAACAGTGGAATGGTTGTGCATGTGTGACAGCATGACGGACATGAAACGTGGAAGTATCTCAGGGTTAAAGAATATGATACAGTGTTCTTAAGCAGCACAACATTCACAGTATTCCTATTCCTCATTTACACTGAGCACACATATTCCTCAGTGCAGTAGGTTTCAACCTCTATCTTTCTAACTGCACATTAATTCCACACTCACCTCACAGCCTCAGGAAAACTGTGATCCAGACACCCAAACCCCTCACCCTGAAACATGAAGGCAGTGATGTGACTGTCCAGACACCCAAACCCCTCACCCTGAAACACGAAGGCAGTAATGTGACTGTCCAGACACCCAAACCCCTCACCCTGAAACACGAAGGCAGTAATGTGACTGTCCAGACACCCAAACCCCTCACCCTGAAACATGAAGGCAGTGATGTGACTGTCCAGACACCCAAACCCCTCACCCTGAAACACGAAGGCAGTAATGTGACTGTCCAGACACCCAAACCCCTCACCCTGAAACATGAAGGCAGTGATGTGACTGTCCAGACACCCAAACCCCTCACCCTGAAACATGAAGGCAATGATGTGACTGTCCAGACACCCAAACCCCTCACCCTGAAACACGAAGGCAGTAATGTGACTGTCCAGACACCCAAACCCCTGGCCCTGAAACATGAAGGCAGTGATGTGACTGTCCAGACACCCTGAAACATGAAGGCAGTAATGTGACTGTCCAGACACCCAAACCCCTCACCCTGAAACATGAAGGCAGTGATGTGACTGTCCAGACACCAAAACCCCTCACCCTGAAACATGAAGGCAATGATGTGACTGTCCAGACACCCAAACCCCTCACCCTGAAACACGAAGGCAGTAATGTGACTGTCCAGACACCCAAACCCCTCACCCTGAAACATGAAGGCAGTAATGTGACTGTCCAGACACCCAAACCCCTCGCCCTGAAACATGAAGGCAGTAATGTGACTGTCCAGACACCCTGAAACATGAAGGCAGTGATGTGACTGTCCAGACACCCTGAAACATGAACCCTCCATGTCTGTCCCCTGCCACACCCAGTCAGTGTTCAAGCCACTATCTGTCCCACCCTACCTGCAGTATGTAGAGAGGCAGGTGGTCTTTGTTGACGTGAGCTTGGTCCCGGGGCTGGATCTTCTCAGCACAGTCTCCGTCACAGGGTAGCAGCTCTGTCACAATCTGCTGACACAGCAAACACTGACGGGGGTTCGACTTTTCCCCTGCTGGGCTCACCGCTGACAGTAACGACACTAGCAGCTTGGTGGAGATGCTGTATCATGCAGAGGGGATTGTGTAAGTGAGTGAGGTTTTATGCTGTAGTACTGTCATACCTCTTAGCCATGGGGACCCCCACCCATTCTTGACTAAGTGTAACTGTATTACAAAATTATAAGCATCATAAATGAAACATTTGTTGAACTGCTTTGTAGGTTATTTCCAAATTGCATTCATCTCAATCTCATAAAATCATATCTTAGTTCTCGTTATCACGAAAGAAAGATCTGAGGACATCCCATTACACGTCACGTCAGAACAACCGTTCCTCTGACCAAACAGAGTGTTGCTTACCAGATCAGGAAAGTGACAGTCGGAATGCAACCCAGAAAAATTTAACACAGGGTCTTCAGAATGACTGTTACGGGACTGAATTCATACAATCTAGGCCATCTATTAGCCTTTCCAGAATGTTCTTTTGTTTAGTTTTCAAAGTTTAAATCGAGAATTTGTCAAAATATGTTTAAAAGCGTAGTCTCGAGTTAGAAATTAATGCTGTTAAGATCGAGAAAACTGCCTTCTGATTGGCAAATGTCGACTTCTTGTCAGTCATTCCATTGGTCTATTATAGTTTGTGAAAGGTCTATCTGACGTGACCCGTAATGGGATATCCTCAGATCTTTGTTTAGCAGTAGCAAGAACTAAGATCTGATTTTATTGAGATTGCATTCATCTAGCACTTGCATGTAACTTGTGCCCCATAAGTGCTGAGCCCCATGAAGGCCTGGGTAAGAATAGGTCTTCAGCAACCCATGCCTGCCGTAAAGGGCAACTAACGGGATCAGGTGATCAGACTCACTGACTTGCTTGATACATTTCATCTTATCCCAATTGTATAGATTGATGCTCATGATGTCATTGGATTGTCTGAGTACATACTGCCATCATATAGCTGGAATATTCCTGAGTGCAGTGTCAAACAACAAACAAACAAACGTGAGTGCTGACTGCCCTACTCTTTTCCCCAAAAGCTGCATGTTAAGACATATGTGTACACTGATAACATGTTTTGCTGATCACTTCACTTTATTCAGGACTTGTAGGCCACGGGTCTTTTAAACAAACGTAATACAATTTAGGTTTTGCTGATAAGTATTCATTTCATTATCCACCATGACAGGGCAGATGGATTGATATTCAGGGTTTTAAGTGATGCACAAATGTGTGTCCAGTAAGCACAATGTTGAGATAGGACGCAGAAAAAGAATATACTGCATCTCCAGGGACGCACAACACTATTCATTGCACCTAAAGCACATCAACAGAAGTTATGGGTGTATGTCATTTCATCCATCAATCATGACCACTGTCCATGTGATTATTGATTCATTCCAGGCTCTAAAGTAATTATCAAAACGTACTGTACACTACACCATGTAATTACTTTACAGGGTCCTTATATTGCCTGCATGCCCTACAATCCATTATTAGGGGTCCTCTGCACCCCCACTTTTGTAAGTCAGGGTAAAATCCTGGATATTTATCCTGTTTATTGTGTTATAAATAGCTCATGCAGACTACATAGAATAATGTTGAGTTTGTTGAAGAATAGTGTGTAATACTTTGGGATTATTTGAATGAAGGAAGTTATTAAACATGTAAAACATTGCAATGTTTACAACTTGTGTTGTGATATCAGTTGTCTTGGTAGATCATTGTAATCATGGAATCTGAAGTTTTTGTGCATTGTTTAAAGCCACACTCAGCAATATTCCAGCTGTATGACCATGATGATGGCATGCTGTAAATAATCAAGTATGGACCAGACAATACAATAATTGACATAATGAGTATCAATCCACGCATTTGAGATACCATCACATGCAATCAACCTGATCCGCTTACATGATTTAGTTGCCTCTTACAACAAGCATACATTGCTGGGGGCCTATATTCCTTCTCAGAATCCCTATTGGTTGCAACCTGGAAGTGAAGGTCAGGTTAAACAAATATCAGCTTCTGTTATATTTTGATGATTAAGTCTTGTGAATATTTGATACACAACAAAAAGCACATGAACCAAGCATTGTATCTGATGCTGATCCTACATGCTAGTCTAAACCATGTAAACTCTACTTTAACTTAGTTCAAATTTAATCCTCCTTGGACACGTAGAAAGTTTAGAGAATATGACACATTACAAAGCACATATCAGTACCAAATTGATCATACTACACATGACAACATCATCATAATGAAAACAGTTAAAACGTTGCTGGACGTAGATGTGTGGACACTCACAAAGGTTCCTCCTCAGATGCCTGGAGTATGAAGCACAGTTGCCGCAGCATCCCACCAAGTTCCCCAGATCTCTCAGATATGTGCATCGTCTCTAATATGCTGCGACACAGCTTATCAATATCTTCCTGTGATGCATTTCTGATGATTAAATATTGGAAAATAAAATCAGTCACAAATTTCTACCACACATCAGACACAACATTCACAATCACATACAGTACCTGAATATACTCAAACTGGATGAAAAGGAAACTTGCTATTTGTATTTCTATGTTGTTCTAAAGTCCTTTCTAGAACTAACACTTTGCAAATGTTCTTTCATTTTGTTCACTGCATGGCATCAGTGGGTATATTATTTAAGAAATAAATGACAAGTGGGAGTTGTTTATAGTACAATAAAACACTGCAGGGAGAATAAACCAAGAGGGCGCATGTCCTTTTTACAAACAGGTGGGTTAAGTTTGGTATTTTTCGGATATTGTCACAATCCTCACGTTGATTATCTCTACCTTTTTTCCTCTCCTAACACCGATTGTCATATGTCTCCTACTTTTATATGCGATCGTTCGGCCACTGCGTTTATCTGCGTAGCCCAGCTATATCTACATGATCTATGGGGAGCAACTCACTAGACACACCCCTCTCAAAAATAACGTCGTCGAGTTGACAGCGTATATTCGAATCTCCAGACATGACATCATGATAGAACAATGTTTCATCGTGAAATAAACCACGCTTCGTTCTTCGGTGCGATTTATCTCGTCGCTTTTTTATATATGCCAATATGTAGTGTACATAAGCAAGTTATGTAAGAATCTAAGTTAATTGACGAGATCTCGATTTGCCGGTGTTGTGACAAATACGTATTACATGTGGACAAACACTTAACAAAAAACATGATCATAAAGATATTGATTCATTCAAATACATATACGTGCCTTGCTTGCTGTCTCAGACTGTCCAAAGTTGAGAGAGCCATGTTTACATCGCTCACGTGGTTTCCGGCGGAAGTTGGGAGTAACTGGCGATCACACATGCGCAATACAACGTTGCCATAGGCGACTCTTCAAGCGACCTGATTGAGCCTTCAGTCAGAGAGAAACACATTTCTTGAACCATTCGAAGGTATGCATGTTACGATCTCGGAACTTTGAGTAGATCCAGATACATTTGACACATCTTTGACATCGCTGGTGCAACGTTGCTATGTACATGTTATGTCTATGTATTGATATTTAAAACTGTACGAACTGCATCGCTGGTGAGTGATGTGGTTTAGGCTTGTTTTTTATTCGGCTATGGGATATTGCAGTCGTTTTAGCTTTTTAACTCTACTGTACTTTTTTTGTTGTTGCAAAGAATAATTTAAGATGTATTAGGTTATAGAACGATCATACCTTCTTATGGTTTATATATAGTTTATATAGATTGTATCGTGTTTCTAGTAATTTTGTGGTGGGTGGTACTAGGCTAGTAGTGTTGATTCCTAACTTAGGCCTAGCCCATGCTTAGTTACAAAAATCGGAAATGATATTCCCATGATATTCATCTTAAAAACAAATAAAAGTGTTCAAGTGTTGTCAAACATATTATTCTTTTTGTAGATTTCAAAGAGCTACAGTTTCAAGTTTGTTTTGAAACACCAACTAGCAAAATGGAGATAGTTTACGTCTACACAAAGAAGCGGAATGAATTTGGTCGACAGTGTAACTTTGCTGATAGACAAGCAGAGTTACATGTTGACATCATTCCTGATCCATCACTAACCTCAAACTTTGTGGAGAGGAATCCAGTAGATAATGGACTTCAGTGTGTTCAGGAAATGTCAGAACATGAGGCAAGTACCTTTCTAATACCATCATCATCTGTATCTGTAAGATAACATTCAATGTCTTATATGATATTTTATTTACAACCACATTCACCATTAGGCCTAGGTAGAATGTAACTTTGTACCAAATCCTTTTTTGCAGTTTTGTGCAAACAATTTTTTTAACCCTGGATCCCATCATCTTTTAACCATTTTTTATAGTGTCTGATTTATGTGGTGATTGCAGGTGAATACCGAGAGATTTGAGACCAGTTCCCGTGGTATAAACCATGTTGAAGGTGGCTGGCCAAAGGATGTCAATGCCAGTGAGGTGGAACAGGTGACCAGATACAGGAAGAAAGTAGAGAAAGATGAGATGTACATTTCAACCATTCAGCAGCTGGGCAGTGTAAGTAGTAATGCATTGATCAGTCAAGTCAAACAGTTCAAAATGTTCAACTATTATTTTGGTTCTATACTTTATAATAAGAAAATTAGGTTGTATGGCATTTAATTGGCTCCTGAAACAATTTGTGTTGCATTTATGTTTCCAGAAAAAAAACCCACCTGTTTCCTTATTGGCTGATAATAGAATGGGCAGGGTTATGTTCCATTGTTGAGCTGAACAATGTCACTGAATCACACTGTTGTCTACATCTTTTTGTGTGTTAATAATTAAACAAACAATCTGTGAAGTTATTATTGTTGACATATTCATTTATACAAAGTGTCTTCAATATACTTTGCGTTTTTACGTTTATACCTCCATAAACACACAAAAATATTGAAGTCAGTGCTTCATTTTCATGATTATGGAACAATTAGATTTTATGTCTTAATCGATCCTTAACAAGAAGTAATATTGATAAATGTATGTTGACATGAGACTAATGTGTTTGTGTATAAGCAGATTTTTTAAATTTCCTTCTAGAAAGTTTATGAAGATGCCACATTTTGTTATGGGAATGAAAACTTTATGGACATTATGTAAATATTAAGACTATCAGGGTGATGGGGTAGCCATTTGTTTGTCACGCCAAACATGGGTACGAGGTGAGAAGCCTATTTCTGGTGTCCCCTGTTGTGATAGTCCTAAATGAGGAGTAAAGCAATACTTATTCACTCCCTATTAATATAGTATGACTCTATATTATCGCGGTATCGATACACCTCGTAATCCACACGCCCTGTCGATGTGTTTACTTATGCAAATCTAAGCACAATGTTTCATGGCTTGATCGAATACAGGACTCGTTCCGGTATGTCACGGCTACTCGTAAGTATACTTGTTAACTTTTTAATGATAATTTCTGGAATGTTTTTGAAGTGGAATTACCCCTACCTCCATTCGAAATTGGTTAGAAAAGAACCCATCTGTTTGGACAATGCCCCTAGGTTGTATGCATACTGATTATGCATAATCCAAAACATGAAGTGATGTAAGTCACATAATCCACACATATCACATCACAAAATAGTGATAACGTGATAATATAGAGTTGCCTGCCCTTGACAGGTAATGACAGGTACTTCTAAGGAAATCAACATCGTTCAATCTAATTGATGTGTCATAAAAGTTGAACAGAGAACAAGAAACATTTTGCGTATGAAATATATAATAGGTTAGTAAGTATTCGTCATTTCGATCCATTATTAATTAACTACCGTGATAATATAGCATACCATGCTACTATCATGACTATGGTGGGGTTTTGTTTCATCATAACCATGTATTTGTTATGCAGGTGATGGAGCACTGCATCAAACAGAACAATGCTATTGACATCTATGAGGAATACTTTGAAGACGTTGACGTGGATCAGGTGGATGAAACACCATCAGCCAAAACTATTAATGTTTTCAGGTAAGAATCACAGAGTTGTACCTATGTTGCTTTAAGGGGGTGGAGTAGCCTAGCTGTCATCGAAGTTCGTACATGCAGAATGTCTGTAGGATTCACACACAGACAGTATGGACCCGGAATTCTGTGGTTGTTACTTTGGTAGGACTGCCATTCCAAAGTAACTTGAGGCTTTTCGCTTTGGATTACTGAAAATGTGTTCCATTAAGAAGAGCATTTAAACTTAATTCGGAAACACCTTACACACATAACTAAAGCTCAGTGTTCATTTGAGAAACCATGAAGGTAGGGAGGGCACTTTGTATCCACATGTGGCAAAAATGTGGGGTCATTTTGAAAAAGGAGCTTTTCCCTAACTAAACGATCAATCTGAGCCATTAGCAAAAGGAGGAGTGTCATAGTCTCACTCTGCAACTTGCTGACATTCATGCTTTGAAAGATATGCTTGAACTGCAAAAACACTCTCCTTTTCCATAACTTGTTTGGGAAACAAAATTGAAAGTGCCTTAAAACCCTTGTCAGCACCATTCTGTGAACTAATGTGAATCTTTATGTCAACAGAGATCCCAATGAGGTTAAACGCACAGCCACACACATCTCCTGGTTCCCTGATGGGCCCCGGAAACTGGCAGTAGCATACTGTAATCTGACATTCCAAGGGTCGTCTCCAGATACAAGCATGGACTCTTACATCTGGGACGTTGGTATGTATTTTCCATGGAAGCAACTTACATTGATATGTGGCAAATCCTCTATATATGATACCTTTCACCTGTTAGAAACTTCTTAGAAATAGTTGAAACTAATGAAGTTAATTATTTCATTTACAGAGAACCCAAACAAACCCGAGATGACCCTAAAACCGGTCTCCCCGCTGGTGTGCCTGGAGTACAACCCTAAGGATTCCCATGTGTTGCTGGGGGGATGCTACAATGGACAAATTGGTTTGTTATTTCATATATTGTTTCAGCAGTATTGTAAAACGGAGATGCTTTCATGAATAAGTTTGTGCCTGGTGGCCTCAATTGTTGTGCAGAGTTGTGTCCTGGATGTGCCAGAATCCTCTGATTGTGGGTTAATACCCCAGATTCGCCCTGACATGGATTCCTGGTTTTTCAGCATCACACCCATGCTTGTGAGTGGCAAGTGTTGAAACCATGTAGGCTTTCTTCCCACATTGTACTGAAATACCTTTCAAATCTGTGTTGAACAGAATTCACTTATTCATGGAAATGTTTTTTGATATAATGAGAAATTTTACATACATTGGTTTCATAAATGAATTATTTTAGAATTCAAGAAATGTATGACTTTTGAACTTATCCTATATCACACTTACATTTCTTCTTTCCTCTTCGATCCTGTGTGGAAAAGTGCTTGAACAGTGTTTCCAGCCTCTAAAAACAATATTCACCCGAACACATCCCATCATCACTGTAGTCCCGTGCATAACGACCTACACAATGTGATCACATGATTACCCCTGTCACATCATTCTCTTTCTCATTGCCACTCAGTGGAGACGAGTACTGTCAGTGATAGAGAATTTATATATTCTTTAACGATTTCCCTACTACATTGTATTGATTACGCATTACATCTGGGAATATGGGCAAAAAGATCCTCTTCGCCTGGCCTGCCTGGAGTGCAGGCATACCATTTTCTACACAGGACCCTAACGATTTATGCTGGGATTGCCGGGTTTGGTGTAGTTCTCACAAGAGGTGCTCTGAATGTAATCTTCTTTCAGTGATTTAAAAAAATGAAAATTTGTCACTGCAGCGTACTGGGACACAAGAAAGGGATCACAACCAGTGGAGATGACGCCTATTGAGCAGAGTCACCGTGACCCTGCCTACAAGGCCATCTGGATCCAGTCAAAGACAGGCACAGAATGTTTCTCTGCATCCACTGACGGCCAGGTACTGTGGTGGGACATCCGGAAGCTGGGGGAACCCACAGAGAAACTCTTCCTGGACAAGAAGCAGGACCTGACCAAAGCACAGGGAGCTTACTGTCTGGAGTATGAACCAACAATGGTATGTCAAGTACAATACATCATTGCATCCCCTTGGCGATCCCAGCAAAGAATGGGTCTCCAGATACCCGTGTTTGTTGTACAAGGAAATTTAATAGATTGGATGGTCAGACTCAATGACTTGTTTGATTGTGAAATCATGTCATGACAGCTTGTTTCTTGTTATATCAAGCACATGATTGTCTAATCCAAACTCAATTATTCACAGGCTGACATAATGTAGCTGGAATAATGCTGAGTGTGGTGTTACCATGGTTACATGAAAATAAAATCTGTATAATTGATGATTACTTTTCAGAATAAATGTTCCAAATTCTTGTTTAACTGGGTAATCTATTAAAAGTAGATATTGTTTGGTTCTACCAACAGTAGGACTAATGAAATTTTGTGTTCATAACTTGGCCCTCAATATAAGGATATACTTGTAAGCAACATAGTTAATGTTAAATGTTTTTCAAATATCAGCATTTATCATATTGATAGATGCAGAAGTGATTTTCCATTTATTTTACTTGATGATGACTAACATGTTTGAGGGTCAGCACTAAAACATAAGCTTTGTTGGGTATACCATTAAGCTATTCAGTGCTCATTATTTTCTCAAACGTGGACATTTATGATCTGATAATTCTGATTTTTGTATTCTTGATACTGTCAGTTGTTGGAGGAGTTTAAGCTGATGGTGAGACGATATGTTGTCATTCACTGACAGCATGTCTATAGGAATGCCACGATAGACCCATTTTCTCCCATGTCAAGCTTTGTGTTGTCATCTCGTTTGTGTTAGATTCTGTGTCCTGTCCTACCTGGTTGTTTTTAAGAACTACTGGTATGTGCTTTGATGTCCAGAGAGATTTATGTCACAGCAGCAACACACTTGCATTAGTGTATTTAGGATGAACACATAGAATATACTGCATGTTATAAATGTCTGACACTGAAGCTCTCCATGTTGTAAGAACCCTGCACACGACACTCACGTTACAACATTTACACAACTCTTCACACAAGGGCGGATCCAGCATTTTTAAAAGGGAGGGGTCCTAAATATCAAAATCCTCTCTCAGTCACTTTTGCTGCCTACAACATCCTACATTTGGTTTTCGAAATGGGGGATCAGGACCTGCTGGACCACCCCCTGGATCCGCCTATGTCACAATATATTTCGTGAAACCTGTATGGTATTATAACGTATAATGGTTGATTAATAATGTAAATGTAATGTCTATGTGCATGGAGTTTAACATTGTTTGATGTTTAATAATGGAAAGTATAATCATGGAAATGAAATTGTGAAATGTTTCTTATTTTGTTATTTGTGTCCTCCAACAGCCGACCAAGTTCATGGTTGGTACAGAGCAGGGATCAGTGATTGCTTGCAACAGGAAGGCGAAGACACCCGGAGAGAAGATTGTAGCCAGCTACTCCGGCCATATTGGCCCAGTTTACTCTCTACAGAGAAACCCTCACTTTCCTAAAAACTTCCTCAGTGTCGGAGACTGGTGTGCCAGGGTATGTATTAATCAGTTGTGCTTATTTCCTTATCTAGAAGAAATATAGTCATTGCCTGAACTCAAAAGAGAGTGAACAGATGTTGAGTCCTCAATGAGGATTCGGGACAGAATTCCTTTCCAGTAATGCATGCTTGTCATTAGAGATGACTAAGTGGAGTTGTGTGTCTCTGTACCCATTCAACATGGATTGATGTATTGCTATGGAACACTTGATGCTCCAGGTCTAAGTACCAGGTTCACGTTCCACAAAGCTATCTTAGCGCTATAACTATCGTAAGTGCATGTTAACGTATGGGAGATTGTCTTAGCGCCCAAATCACCCAGGCTGCTGTGGTGAAGCTGTGATATTGTTGACCGTAAAACAATTACTGTTATATTGCTGTCCCCAGCATACAACTCACTCACTCACATAATGTTGTAAAACTGTGTGCTGTGCTGTGTGCTGGAGTCTGATTAGTTTAAAAATGTTAAGTGGGAAAACGGCCTGGAAAGCTTGTTATCTTTTCACTGAGTGTGATTACTTTTCTTGATGAGTGCCATTTCTTTCTCAATCTCATACAGAAATCAGCAATGAACTTGGCAAAGAGATACTGCATTTATACTGTGTTAAGAACAAACTAGACAGGTTCATTTGTCAGGGAAGCATGTCTCGCCATCCATTGTATCATCAAGTCATAGCAGTTCAGAGTTAAGTCATGTCAGTCTTGCAATACTGTGAGTTCACACAGGAGAGTACAAATTACTTTATCATACCTCCATGTCAGAATTATGAGATCTGATTGGTCCACTAGATCTTGATAAAATACCATGTATCCTGCCTTGGAGGGAGGGAAATAAATTTCTCAGTTAGAGAATAAATCCTTTATACCCTACTTCGAAGCTTAAAACCTCACACTTTTTGCGAGTCAAACAAAGTCACTTGACAAAGCGCAAGTAAATTTCAGCTCAGCTGTTTTCTATCAATTTTGAGTTTGTTGTAATTCTTTATAATGTCAAATTAAAACATGCGACACATAAAACCCCTCGTAATACTTCTACAACTTATAGTATGTAACTTCTTTGTTTCTTTCTTTATAGCAACACTCTCCTTCTTGTTTCAGTTGTGGTCTGAGGACATCAGGGATTCTTCCATCATGTGGTCAAAGTGAGTAGTTATTTAGTATGACGTGTATGAAGCAACATGTACAAGTAGTTGGAATTAATGTGTGTTTTATGAATCATTCTGCTTCGTTTCCTAAGTTGCGGTTGTGTTCCAGGCAGTACGCATCCCACCTCACAGACGGATGCTGGAGTCCCATCAGACCAGCAGTGTACTTCATCACAAAGATGGATGGTACACTCGACGTCTGGGACATCATCTTCAAGCAGAATGACCCCACCCTCAGTCTGCAAGTATGTTTATATTTGACTTGTTACCTGCATTCACTATCAAACACTATTATCTGTGTCCATTATCTTGCTAGTAGGCATATGCAAATTTATTCTTATACAAATCAGTCTTGATTGACAATGGTATAAAGATCTATACCGAAACATCGCCTTCACAGTTATTAAAGAAGTTGTTATTCATTATTTGTGTCTACTTTGTCAAAATCATTTGCAATGCTTTTGTTCCAACATGCACCATAATATTGGGATTCATTGTCTCACTCTATTCCAAGACAGAATTTTTACTTATCCTGCATTAAACGTTTAAGGATGCATTAAGGAGTAATGCAGAATATGTATACAAATGTAAAAAAATATTTAGATTTTTTTTTTTATTATTTATCCTGCATTATCCTGTAATGCATCCTTAAATGTAGTAATGCCGGATAAGTATACAAATGTAAGAAATATGTAGATATTACTAAAATTGTTAGAGGTTTCAAAGTCTACATATGTTAACAAACCTGTCATTTCATGTTAGTAGTGAGCTATGATCAGTGTCGCTGTGTTATGTCCGTGTAATTTTGGAGCCAGTAACTGATCAGGTTTAAGATGCTCTTCATGGGGAGCCCCAGTGATGACTGTGTGATGTTGCCAGGTATGTGACGTCCCCCTGCACAGTCTGCGGGTACAGGAGGCGGGCAGGCTGGTGGCGTGCGGCTCGGAGGATGGTACGACCACATTGCTGGAGCTGTCCGAGGGGCTGTACACGATGCAGAGGAATGAGAAGAACCTTGTCACAGCGGTAAGCAGCTTACACTCACACACTGTCTTCACTGTGTTGTGGTACAGGGAGTAGATAACATACACACAACCATTATGCTGGGATGTGTCTGGAGACACATTGCATCAGGACATTTTCATGATTTGTATCGACATTTGTCAACATATATTGCGATATTATTTTCTAGACATTTTGGATGACAAAATCTAGAAACAACAGAGGTAAACATATTTCATAAGGTGCATATTCAAATTTCATACTTCTCCATGATGTCAACAGTGTCAGACACGACTGGAATGGTTATAGGGTTGTTTCACAGATATGAATACACCCACCATGCTAATAATGGCGCTTACAGAAGAACATAAGTTTTGTATTTTCATTATCTGACCTTGGTTCCTTTATATCCTTAACAGATGTTTGAGCGGGAGACGCGGCGAGAGAAGATCCTGGAGGGCCGACACAGGGAGATGAAGCTGAAGGAACGCACCAAGAGTCAGCAGGAAAAGGACAAGGTCAGTCTGACACACTACGTTGTCCCCCATGAACTGTATTGCTTGTTGTCAGAGGCACTTCATTTGGATTGGGTGGTCAGGCTAGGTGACTTGGTTAATTGCATGTCATCATACCCTGAACCCGTGAACATCTGGCTGGAGAATAGGTCTTCAACAACCCATACTTGTCGTAAAAGGCGACCATGTTTGTCAAAAAAGGCGACTAACCGGATTGGATGGTCAGGCTCACTGACTTGGTTGATGCATGTCAGTTTATCCCATTTGCGTGGATTGATGCTCATGATATCAATCACTGAATTGTCTGGTCCAGACTTGATTATTTACAGACTGCCTTCATATGGCTGGAATATTTCTGAGTCCGGCATTAGAAAACAAACAAACATTGTACCCTGATGGTATACAGTGGGGATGTTGCTCATGACATCAACAACTGGTTTGTCTGGTTCAAACTCGATTATTTACAGGTTGCCATGATACTGATGGAATATTGCTGAGTCAAACAAGCATACAAACAATTCATTTGTCCTTACTGTTGGGGACCTGTGAAGATTCCGGGGTAGAATAGGTCTTCAGCACCCCATGCTTGCCGTAAAAGGCGACTATGCTTGTCGTAAGAGGCGACTAACAGGATCGGGTGGTTAGGCTTGCTGACTTGGTTGATGCATGTCATTGTATCCCAATTGGGTGGATCAATGCTCATCATGTCAATCACTGGATTGTCTGGTCCAGAATCGATTATTTACAGACCACTGTCGTATAGCTGGTATATTACTGAGTGCGGGGGTATAAAACAAACAAACAAACAAACAAACCTTACTGTTTGGACAGATTCATGGACATATTAGGTGTAGTTAATCCAGTCCCAATGTCTCCCATAGGGCAATTCATATGAGATGACAGGTGGCCTGAGAGGGTGAGAGCAATGGCTACCCAGTATTGCTAGTTACCAGTAGGAGCAGATGTGAAGTAAAGAATCATCTTCAATTGTGACCTGTACCATCTTATCCTATTGGCAGTGATCAGTGTTCATTCTACAGACCAGTTTTTGGCTGGCTTGCTATTATTTCATAAGTTGACATAGTATGGCCATAATGTTTCTTATTACAGAATTAAGTACATTCACTCAATGGCACCACTTGGGACAGGATGAAATTAATGCTCTGATTAATGATAGCCTCTTTTCTAAGAGTCATCAGTAACACAAGGGGAGGAGCTTCTTGTGTTCTGCAACACAAGAATTCTGTTCTTGTGTTAATGGTTTTTCCTTTTTCAAGGAGGAAGAGAAGGAGGTTGAAGCTCCCATGGAAGAAGAAGACCTGGTGGAGAAGGCTGAGAAGGAGTTCTTCAGCATCATCGAACAGGAGAAGAAAAAGCAGACAGCACCAGCTCAAGACTTCGAAAAGGGAGACACTGGCAAGGTAAACTTTGGATACATTGTTGTTCCTTGATAGCATCTTAATAATACCTTAAATTGGGGAACAGGATCAAAGGGGTTTGAGAATTTTATTCAAATGGACACAATAGTATATATACTATGAAGGAAGGCATGACAGCTCTGGTTATGATGTTGCAGACATCACCAATCCAGGAGGAGGGAGAGGAGGAGAAAACCAATGGCAACCCAGTGAGTAGCAGAAACACAGAGATAGCTTATCATAGCTAATGTCCTAATGAGCTTGCTAGTCCGCTCCTGCAAATGTTAAATGACATCTTTCACCGTACAGAGCGAGGTAGACATATCTGTTCAATATCTGTTGAGACAAATGGAATCATGGTTGCTGCAATGCAGGACAAATGTGTTAGCACACACACACCTGAACTGAAAATGATGAAACCCCCATGAGCTCCAGTGACATCAACTTTGTGTTATTTATTTATTCATATGTTTTGAAGTGCGTCGCCATTTGTTAGGTGCATAGGTATACGATACATCTGTATGATGAAAAGTTAGGCTGTTTATAAATGTGACATGGTGTATTTCCTATCATTGCAGGAGTCCACCAAGAAAGACTGAGCATGTATCATCAGGACTTGATTCAGGAGCATCTGTGACAGCATCACTTCAACAACAGCATGTGTGATTACGTGACAACAATTTCTTATATTGTTTAAAGGTGTGACAAAACATATTTTCTTCATCTGATGTCCATCCATCCGTCCATACTTTAATAGCAGCATCACTGACTTGGCATCCATACCGTAGTGTCTCACTGCTGACGAGATGTGGGCTGTCTTGTAGATGCTAGGTGCTGTGGGAACAACATATACACGTTCATCATGCAACAAAACCCTGGACAGCTAGCATCAAACAACAATCAGATGGTGTTGTTTACTGTTGAAGACATTTGTTTATTATTTGATGTAAATATGTTTTCATGTTTCCTATCTGTGATTGAGTGTCTGGAGGGAGCATGAGAGAATGAGTCATTATATAAGCAACTTGGTATTATCATTTGTCCCAAAGTTTATATTGTTTATTTGTATATACAACCTTTATATGTAAAATCTCAAATTGTTACTAAACATTGAAAATAAAAATTGTGATATTGGACATGATTAATCTTTTTTCTTTTTCATATAAATTGTATAACTTGGGCATCAGTGACCTATAGACAATGGATTAAAAACATCAGATCGGGATTGACATTATTTTTTCTTTTTGTCTGTTGTCAACTATGCTAAATGACGTTTGGCATTGTCCACTGTAGGCTGTGCAGGTTTTTTGAGGAGACTGAACATGGCTACAACCAGCACATGATTTACTTTTTAATTCCCCTGCCAAGTATGTTCGTCTTGACCTCTTGACAGAATTGTACACCATTGTTGAATGTTGAATCAGAGGGTATTATTTAATACAGTCAGATTCACTTATAGGCCATTCTACAAGCTGACCTCAGGAGTCTCCTTGGAAAATGGATGGGTAATTATTGATAACGTCACACCAGAGCCCATTAAAAAATTCCATTACAACACCATCTACATATAGTGGATGGAAGGCAAATTATCAACAGGTTAAGTTGTAACATGTGGTGCACTACAGATTGATATATGCAAATATCAACTAAGAGCAATTTCAAGGGCACTCCGATGTATTACGCAAGCTATTGCTAACCGCAAATTGGTGATGCTTTGCATAAGAAATGGTTTTGGTAATAACAGAGGACATACAATTGCAAGAAGCTGTCGTAAAAGGCTCGTTCTTTCTGTCGTGTTCGATCTCAATCCTTTCGATGTGCGTCGCTATAAGACAGCGCGTCCTGTTCTGTACACATGAAGATGGCTAGGCTGGGTTATATTTGCAGTCCTAGCAGTTTCAAAAAGGTAACTGACCAAATTCTTTTCGCACAACACTTTGGCAAAGAAGGTCGCTGAGGTTGTTAAGTGGTTAAAGCGTTGGCGCCTTGCTGAATATCCAGTTTTCGATTCCTTATCACATGCTTGGTGATGCCAATTCTTCAACTCGAGATCGGTCACAGTGACTTATAAGTATGGTGTTGCCTGAACGTGGAACCCAACGACCAAAATTATTGTCCTCAAATGACATCATCAACAAACGACCTCGCCGACAACATTCACTTCAATAGCCTATAACTGCATTATTACGTAATTGCGGGGTAGATAAATAAAACATACGCGCAAAATCTTTGTAAAGCGTTTATTATTTTTCAAAGAAAAAGCAACGTCTTCAACATATGTTTGCAGGTCTGTTTTTTCTTTCGGAAATGTAAAATTGATTGAAGCGGCGTAAAATCCTGCTCGTGTGGACGCTCAGTCCAGGCTATGTTACAACTGCCAGTGTCTCAACAACCTAGTCCAACCCGTCGACCTTGAAAGAGACGAATGGTCCCTCTGAAACTGCCCCTAGTCTATCAATTTCCACTGATCGATCAAGAAGTTATCGAGCTTGTCGGTCAGTTCGATACAGCATTTTGTAATGACCCTAGTATCCGATCGTATGTTCAGTTTGGCGTGATTCGGAAGGTGTACATGTTCTTTGACCTGGGCTTCTTGGCTAATGTCGAGTTGGAAAAAGGCAAATTTACAAAAGAATCTCAGGTGCAGAAGACAATGCCTGTGGATATTGATCTTTGTTCCACAAGTCGTTCTTGTTGAGACTGTCAAGGAGATCGATTAAATTGGATTTGTCGTAAATTAAATTGGTTTCATATTATACTCAAGGATACGCTAGCCACAATAACAACATATTTACTTTTCCCCTTTCTCTCTCGTCTCTCGCCCCGTGGGGATTCCGGGTTATAGAATAGAGAACTTGTACTGGTCGTGACTGAATGGATCGGGTAGTCAGGCTCTGTGAATTGGTTGATTGCAGGTCATCGGACCCCGACGACGTGGATCATTGTTTATTATATCAGTCACTGGATTGTCTCCACACTCAAGTACTTGCATGTCTTATAGCTGGAATATTGCTGAGCAATATTGCCGCAACTCAGTGTCAGAGTTATGTCCCTTAAATGTATTAGGATCCGCCTTGCATGGCTCCAAATCCCAGATGCGCCCTGGTTATTATCTGTCAGCACCAGGTTTCACCAAATTGGTAAACGACCAGTGCTATTTTGATCAAACCCACCCATTGTGAATGTAACTTATTGTCACTGCTGTATCGGAATGTATACAGAGTCAAATTAAAAACACATTTTTAAAAGTAATCCCATATATGATATACAACGGACAAATGCATCAGAGAAGGTAATGTTTAATCATTAATGTCCAAAGAAGGATTTTAATTAACGGTGGTAACCATAATTTGTTCCAAGCACCTACGGTATCCGGTAATAACATCAACAGTTTAAATCATAAGTCCCAAGCACGAGAATCTGATGGCACACAAGTTCAGTAGCGTGTATGGCCACCATGTGCATTGACAACTGCCACACAACGCCTCCGCATGGACCTTGTGATGCTTGTGAACACATCATCTGGAAAACGACGCCATTGTTGCTGCAAAATGGTGCCAAGATCTTGCAGATTTCTGTGGTTGGTTCTGGAGAGTGTGCAGACTTCTGCCAAGAGCATCCCAGACGTGTTCGATGGGATTGAGGTCGGGAGACCTTGACGGTCAGTCCATGACGTTGACTCCCGCATTCTGAAGGAAATTCCTTGTCAAAATTGCTGTGTGGGGTCTGGCATTGTTGTGTTGGAAGATCAAACCGAGTCCAAGTTCTGGTGCCAGTACCTGGTCGCGGTAAGCAGCAGCGTTGAGGTTGCCACGGATGACAAGAAGCCTGGAACGTGCATTGCCACAGAAAGCACCCAACACCATGACACTTCCGCCTCGAAATCTGTCAACTTCCTGTACACAAAAGACGAAGACTGAAGACGACTTGATTCCAATTCCTCTGAGTCCATCGTAAGTGTCGCTGTGCCCACAATTGACGTTGACGTCTGTGTAATTGAGTCAGAATCGGCCCGCAGCATGGCCGTCGTGCTTGAAGGTGAGCAGTTCTCAGACGGTTTCGAACAGTTTGCGCACTCAGTCTACCCCTAAACAGTTCATTTCTGGTTGATGTAGCCGTCAAAAATCGGTTACGGAGATGACGTAAGACAATCTGACGATCCTCTGCATGTGACGTCACACGTGGTCGACCTGGCCGAGGGCGATCAGCGGTGGTACCCGTTTGCTGTAGACGCGTCTGTAAATCATAAACAGTCCGTCGACTACAACCCATCGTCCTTGCGACTTCAGCTACGGACGTTCCGGTCTGCAACATGCCGATGGCACGTTCACGTTGCACATTTGAAAGGCGTGGCATGGCCGTAAAGACTTTTGTTTTCTTGTGTTTTTCTTTTTTTGTTAATGACTGCTAACAAGTATGGCTGAAAATACGTGCGGTATTATGGCCACGTGATCACTTGCACGTGAAAAACCACTTTTGCCACTATAGTGCTCTGCACATGATTTTGATCGATTCACCTGCACAAAAACGGGTGTTATCTGAAGACAATACGTGGCCATTACTGTTTAACTACACAATAAGGGCCCTCAATGATAACTGGTCAAAATGTTTAAATTTTAGGATTGTGAACTTTTTAATTTGATTCAGTATATATCTCGACACACCGTATGACGTTGTAGCATTACTAGATTCCTGTGGACGCACGTTACGCAGTCCCGCCGCCTCTTGGGAACTGGCAAGTGTTGAAATCTGTCTGGGGTTTACGATCCTGTGTGGTATGGCCACAGTGTGCTTGAGTGGGCGATAAAAGAGAGACGCCATATCATTAGGGACAAAATCAATTTATTAGGATACACTGATGAATTAGTTAACAAAACAGTTGGTTTTCTATTATGCGTTCATCAAGGACTTTAATCTACGATCAACGGATCCAAGCACATCTCTGTTAAGCGAATGGAGACACCATAGACCACTGAGCCACCTGTCCCCTTGAGCGTTTTTCCATCTACAGTAACGCCTACATGTTAACTAAAGCATTCATGCAAAATAGATATGTTGTTTTGTTTGCAGAACGGGTGTGTGTGCGCGTGTGTGTATATATATAGTATGGACATTGGTACATATCTGGGTGTGAATACTATATTTCCTGTCGACTCCAAGATCAACACCCTCCCACTTCAACACACCCGGCTTTCGATTCCGTGACATTATTTCCTCACAATCTGAGGCCACTGCGACAAAGTCAGAACGCCAAATAACTACCGTGTGCATTAGAATCATAAAGCCAATACGCAACACTCGTCATCTACAGATCCCCAGGGACCATCCTGGTTTCCTGTAGCAGCTTATCGCATGACCTCATATACACTGACTAGGCGCAGATGAGAATCTACGTATATTGAATATTTAATCGCCTGTTTCTTGTTTATGCAGAATGTCTCCCAAACCGTCTCCAGCCAGTCATGTCAACCCGCATCTATAATTCAGTCACTTCTTTCAGACCGAGTTTGTCGCTTTGGAGATGAACCGTTGTTTTCGTCAGTCGATATATTTTTGTAAAAGCTAATCTAACCGTAATTGGAATTCTGGGGTTATTTCCGGCGACAGTTCTGCGAATAGATGAATCCCGTGGATTCAGAATTACAGTACAGGATGGCATCGAATGTTGCCGGAAACATGAAGTTTTATACCCCCTCCTTCTCTGTCCCCTAACAAGATTGTGTCATGGAAGTACCCTTTTTGCCTATACACCCTCCCAGAGTCTTTGAGTGGGAGATAATGGCCATCTAAGCATTCATTCAACCTTGATTTATAGTTCCGCCTCGACACAACAAACATGACTTATGTCCGTCAGAAACAGACGACATTATGTATCAAGCAGACGACACAATCGTGTTCTGGAAAAAGCAGACGACACTGGTATCACATAATTCATTTGAACATGAAACATTCCATTAAAATCAATATTAGAGAGAGGTTATTTTGTCCTACATTAGCAGGAACTATCTCGTTGAACTGGAGTAACATAATGTGACGTAAGACATTGACCTTCATATACTCTTAATTATTGCGTCAAGTCTGAGCCATAAGCGTCCGGTCCACGTCCTTGCTTTTTTTTGCAGTGAGCCTTCAGGCG